AAACGTCGGTTAACACCACATATACACGGTGCCAAATCCCAGAAGACTGCATTCTTCATTTAACAGTAAGTTTACTTTTCTTCACCAAATTTTTAAATAATGGCATTTTCTTGGTAATATTCCTGTAAGTGGATTAATTTTCCTTTCCCTCCATTTGCCCTACAAGTTAAATATCAGTTGTTTTTTTTCCTAACATGGTGTTCTACTTTGTTTTTAATATGGTAAGAGCTCACCAGACAGTGTTGCAACTAAATACACTGCTTGTAAGTGTACTGTCCAGATACTAAACTATGCATTATAACCCTTTCATGATTTATTTAGCTACTGTCTGAAAGATGGTTTTTGCAGTTATAAAAGTGAATCAGAGCTGTGCACAAAGGCACAATTTTATCTGAGGGGAAAGTGTTATGAAATACATAATACAGTAGTTTGTCATTAGTCTTCTGCTGCTGCAAGTGAAGGCACCTATTTGTGATAATGCTGATAACATCCTACATTTTTTCATTTAAACTTCTAATGGTTTAAATGGAATGTTTAGTAGGCCTGTGATTTTTAAGAATCCAAATATTTCTGAATGTCTTTTCCTTTCTCATATGATATTGAACATATGAGGAAATCAAAGGTTTACAATAAAATTTTGCTTAGACAATAAATCATGTTGGCTCTGTGTTCTCCTGTATAGTAGTGAAACATCAATAATACAAGTTAAAAGCAAATTCAGATTCCAATTAAATAAACCCGAGTAATCAGCCATGGTCATAAGAAATAAAACTTTGGTATTTCAGAGATGGTCTCCTGAAAGCTAGAATCTTTATTCCATATCAACATAGCAGAGCCAGTCTCAACAACACATGAGTTCTCTTACTTTGCAGGTTTACTACATATCAACTTAGCATATTGCACAAAACTTCACTAATTTATTTGCATACATAAATTTGTTGTTGCAGCACTGAAGAGTCATAAAACCATTTCTCTTGTACTTCATGAAACAAGTCCACATTGAAAAATATTTACATTGAACACCGGAGATTTCAACAGGCTCTATATTTTGTACTCTGTGTATAAATTTTATATCCTGAGCTATTTTTGAGAAATTTCAGTTTGAACTTCATGTAAAGTGGGATTTATATTGAATTAATACAGATAAAAAAAATTATATTTATATCGAAACTGCTTGTGTAGGTTCCCATTTTTTCAACAAAATGCCCTGAACAATTTCAGAATGAAACATACAAACATAATCTCCCTGTTATGTATTAATTTAATTTTGAGGAAATATGCATAATACAGGAAAAGCTACTTAACATCACAATAGTAGAATATCTGTGCTGATTAAATCAGCGAATAAAGAAGTGCCTGCCCTAGACTGTTATCAAACTTGACATACCAAAGCCTTTACCTTCATTTCTCCAGAGAACAATTAAAGGCCTTAACCTCTGAGAGTACTGAAACAAAGAGATTCAGCATGGTCCAGTGCAGTACTGTGATCAGATCTTGGTAACAACAGGTTGGCTGAGCTAGGGAAAAAGTTATATTACCTCCTCCTACCACACTTATCTAAGTCATAACAGACACTTCATTTTTATTTCTTTCTTTCATCTGTTTTCCCTTCAAGTCACCTATTTCTAAATATGCAACATAAAGGTAGTTTCATGCACATAACTGAACTCGCAACAGAATGATTTTTAGATCAAAAGCACAGTACTTTTATAATTAAATAAACTGTGCTTAGAATAATAACACTGAAGAATCAGTTATTTATTATGCACAAAAAATATGCTTTTAATATAAATATAACCTGCCTGCTTGAAATTTAATGCTTGTTCAGTTTCATTCAAACCTCCCACACAGATATAGAGCCCATTTAAATATCACTGGATAGATAATGTGGTATGTAATAATGACAGCTCAAATACTACCAAGTCATTGGTCTTATTATTTAAAAAAAAAAATGTATCTGTTTAGACAGAAATATTTTTCAGCTTAAAGTAGTATGAAATCTGTATCTCATTTCACAGTCAGTACTGCTGTATCAAATTGTAACTACACAATCATTCGATCCGTTTGGGGAGGGGAGACCACACACACACAGGAATAACAGACCTTGCATAACTAGTCACAATTTGATAAAATTATCTGTAGAACATAACAATCAGCTCCATCCATCGGGAAGCAAGAAGTGCAGTAAAGATCTCTGTCCTTATTATGAGTCTGGGCACAAGCATGGCCATGACAATACTAACGGAATGCATACATCAGCAGCAATATTGTACAAACACCTACAACCAGGCCAAGAATGATAGAATCCCGTCGTTTACGAAAGTTAATTCTTTGGAGCAAACTATTGACAACAGGAAATCGATTGGAGATGTCATTGATCCTGGTCTGTAAGCGCTTAAATGTTAGACGCTGGGACACTAAGTGATCCCTGGTGTCCACAGCAATGTTGATTTGTTCTTCCAGCAGTCGGTCAGAACTACAGTCATGAAAAGAAAGAACATAGTGAGGCCCAACAAAAAAATACAGAATAACATGCTTCACAAATATTACTAGAAACGTTGTGCTGTGCTGCTTTCCATAAGAATAGAAAGTACAGTAGAACTTGGTTATAACGTCATCAAAGGGACCTAAAAATAGTGTCGTTATAAATGAATGTCGTTGTAACCGAAATGGGCACTTCCACAGTAGCCCTATGTTAGTCACGTAAAAATCTACCAAAAACCGAGTTAAAATGTTGCATTTTTTAGTGAAATACGTAGTTAAGTACAGACTAACGTAACATTAACGTGGAACTGCCCAAATGTTTAATATCAAAGACATATTACAGCGCTTTTCACTGACAATACACACCGCACTAATACTGTATATTAAAGGTAGGCCTACTCACCAAATTACAGTAGATTACATCAATTGTTGTGCCTTACTGTACCTAGATACGAGTACAGTAATCAGTTATCTTCATCTGTTTCCTGTTACTTGCCCAATACACACTTTCTAAATTACGTTCAATGTCCATATCAGAGAAATTCAGGAATGAAAATGACGTTACATACGAGGTTGATGCATTTGTGCATGTCGTACTAAGCAAGGTATAAAAACAGTTGCTTTATGAGGAATTAGTTCGTACCATTGAATATTTGACGCAATAGACAAGGTGTCGCAGAAACCGATGTTGCTATAACCAAGTTTTACTGTATTCACAGTATGACAACTAAGTTCCAGAACTGGGGCCATAAAAAAACCACACAAAAAAGATATAAAATAATTATTAATACCATCACTCAATGTAGTCCCTGCCCACTTCTGCACAACAATTACTTCACTCATATAACGAACTGAATGCCCAAGAAAACACTTCTTCCCATATCAACTTCAGCTCTCTCGTTACAGTCTGCTGGATCAATGAAACAGACTCGAATCTTACCCCTTTCATCGCAATTTTTAATCTAGGAAATAAAAAAAGTCAGCTGGCCCTAAATCAGGGGAGTAGGGTAGATGGGATAACACAAGGATCCCTCATTTCGCCAAAAACTCAGAGACAACACCTGATGAATGCACCAGTGCACTGTCAGCAGAAGATACCAGGACCCACTTTCCTGAAACTCAGGCCTAACATCATGTACTTAAGTGATCGATCTCTTAATCACCTTTTTATAAAATTTACCATTTACAGTCTGTTTTTCCAGCATTGATTCGTGATGAACGATACCTTTAGCATCAAAAAATGCAGTCAATATTGTTTTCATCTATGGTTTTTGCATTCTCACTTTCTGAGCTTTTTCGAACCTTTTCTGCCATTCAAACACACTTGTTCTCAATAACATTATCCATTGTATGCACTTTTAAACATTTCAAACGTTTCAGTAGATGTTTTCTTTAATTTTACACAAAATTTAATCACTGCTCCATTTTGTTCCATTTTGAAACCTTTGAAAAGACAAAAAAACTAACTTCATCAAAACAACTGTGATCCTCACATGTATCAACCAAACAAGTTGAAACTTGCAAATCATATAAATAAACATTCCAATTAGTCCTGTTCATCAACAATAGATGGCATTAATAGTATTACTGTAATAGCATCAGTTTGGGAACTTAACTGTCACACTCTGTACACGTATTACTTATGGAATTGGAAGTAATTAACTTCCAATGCCGTATTTCTAAACCACCTACCACTGTGTATTTTAATAATAAACACATGCTCTGATTAAATATCATCTTCAGTTTCTTTTTATATGTAAACTGTTGCATGTTTGCTTAATGTTATCTGCAAATATAAAACCCGATATTTTACCTTCGAATATGTTCATTTTCTTTTAAATACAAATCCATCCTTCTGTTTAACCCAGACGAAGTCTTGTAGTTACTGAAATAAATAAACAAAACTAAATGTCATTCACTGCCATTTTCAAATATGAATACACCAATATCAGTGAACTTATAACTATTATAAAAGATAAAGCAACTCCGTCCAGTGTGACTGTTGAAGTTTTTACTACTTCAATTTTTAACACCCTTACATGTTTTGGTCCCCATAGACCATCATCAGAGGGACATCGATACTCTTTGGAAACCGCTGTAGTTGTGAAAACTTTGGATTTTGTATATATTGTGCATTACAAACATTGTATGTGTATATATTTTAACATTCAGAACACCCACTGTAACAGTGGTTTCCAAAGAGTAGCGATGTCCCTCTAATGGTCTATAGGGACCAAAACATGTAAGGGTGTTAATAATTGAAGTAGTAAAAACTTCAACAGTCACACTGGATGGAGTTGTTTTATTTTTTATAATATTGTTAGTGTGATGGACCAGAATGAAACAAATCAAAAACTTCTAACTCATTAAAAATTAAAACTGTTTAACTAGCTCCACCGGCTTCAAAGTTGTGTTTGCAAAAAAATGTGAGAGGCAACATATTAATCAATTACTTAATCATGTAAGTTTTGAGGTTATCACGGCGATGACTATGAAGAAAGTTGTCTTTTGGGTTTAGGCGCCGTGTATTTTTCGTTTTGGTCGACGTAGCAGTAGCTACTGCTCTCTGCATTCCAAGCCATTCAACTGCTCTGAAGATGGAGGCGATACGTTCCTCCGAAACATCGGCCAAAACGAAGAATACACGGCGCCTAAACCCAGAAGACAACTTTCTTCAATTAGTTAATCAATTCTGAGAATGCAGGCATTATCCATTTCCCCCCCCCCTTGGCACTACAGCTCCAGTGGGCCTAGGCCTACCTCCACGAACTTCTCCGTTCACCCAATTAAAATTAGTTCAGAAATTTCTCTACCAGCAGTTCATAAAATAATCACAAATCTCTTAACAGAACATGAAATTCTGAGTTACAACATTTCAACATCAGTAACATTTAGTCACATAACAGAAACTCCAAATTCTATAACATTAGTGTACTAATGGAACATATTGTGACATTTCAATGCATTGCCAGGCAACGGCTCGATAGACACACCGAGATATGTGCACGCAACAATAGGACAAATGTTTATAGCTCATTGCTAGACAACAGTCAGCGGGCCAACAGACTGGTGAGACAGCCATCACATGACTTGTTTTCTGTGTGATCTGCACTACACAACAATAGAGGGGCTGTGTTTTCTGTGTATGGTCTGTGCCAAGAGGAAATGAGAGAATACGAGAATGGAAATTGACTTCACTTGAGTTCCAGAGTTCCAAGGGAACTGCAGTGTGGCCAGAAGATGAATTAAAAGACTTAGTGTGTGACATTATATGTGCTATAGTTACAGTAATCTTGCGAGTGTAAGAATTAATTGTAGTTACACCTAGTGAAGAGTCCAAGAGGGTTCAGCAGTTTAGAGCTCAAGGACGAGAATGGAGTGCGTTCTTACTGAATTGTGAAGATTGAGTACAGAGTGACTGAAGATGAAATAGCAAGAAAACTTCACAGTGATCTGAAGTGCTAGTTTCTGTGTTGAGATCTGCTGCTAGAAGAAAAGTAGTGGAAATTGAGAATCCTAGCGTATGCGCAATAGTGAACAGGAAAGTGAGTAAATTAGCAATAGTGCTGTATTAATTGTAATTAAGAGAGAGAGAGTGTAACTGAAGTGCTAATAAATCCAATCATCTGAAGCAGAACCCATTAATTTCAACACGCGTACCACCCTACATGTGGCAATATTATATTCTAGTTTAATACCAAGGGAATATTTACAATTAAATTTACATTTTGTAATGTAAATTTACAATTTACAATTAAAAGCACACATTATAAATAATTAAATCACAGGATACTGTATTTAGTCACTCTTATATTACAACTACAAAATATGCGGTTTAAGGGAAAATAAGTGTGATTCTATAAAGAACAGTTTTAGTGCTTATTCAATAAAATCTATAGATAAGAAAATATGTTTCAACTCAGTGCCATCATAAGGTCACAAGACATTTTGAAACCCGCAACAGAACCTTAGAGATTAAATTAAATAACTAAGGTTTATCACCATCAAAATCATTACACATGAAATCACATTTCTAAATCACAATATACACAAGGCCATATATCCTTCCCATGATGGGATGACATGAACTTAACTGATCATATTTTGATTAATAAAAGACAATATTTAAATATTACGGACTTCTAATCCTACAGACAGATATACTTATGAGCTACACATCACTTGCCTGTCCTTGATCATCATCTATATTCATTTCTGATCCACACACATCCTTAACAGACTATAGCCACAAGACGATCATAAACCTCTAAAAATATATAAAATATTTTCAGCAAAACAATGGTTATGGCTTACTCAATATCCTTACGGACAGTGTTGAGAAGATCCTCTCTCTCTCTGCGTGCCCTGTAATTGGCCTGTGTCTTTCGGAACTCTTGAGTGTAATCTTGCAGAATCTCCTGGTGCCGTTGTAATGTGTGTTGCAGGGCTGAGCTTGGTGGAGCTGCCTGTGTTGATGAGACCTCTCTAAGCCTCTCATTCAACATTGATAACTGTAATATAACAATGAGGAATTAACCTCAAACAAACAAAGTTACCCAATAACCACAGAGACTTCAGCAGATATGGAATAAAGCACTACTTTATTTTCCTCCTGTCTTTTCCTAATTCTTGTAGACTTCAGAAATAATTCTTATTTACATAATACAATCTGCATAGATGCAGCTTTTATTGCAGTATCAACCATGATAATCTTTCTGTACACACTGTAATATATTTTCGTTCAATAACATATGTCAACTTTGACATTTTACATCATCATCATCATCATCATCATCATCATCACTGTTACCGACACCACCACCACCATGTATATCATATGGAGTTCCATCAACTAACTAACTAAGAAACAGGCTCCATGGAGATAAGCCTTTCTTGCGAAGCCAACAGTTTTGCAGCTATTCAAGAATTTCCCAACAATTTATGGAACCTGAAGGTTCATTACCGTGTTCCCAAGAGCCCTCCACTGGTCCTTATCCTCAGCCAGATCAATCCAGTGCATTCCACCCCATCCTTCCTCTATAAGATACATTTTAATATCCTCCAACCTACATCTAGGTCTTCCTGGTGGTTGCTTTCCTTCTGGTGTTCCCATTAAAAACATGTATGCATTCCACTCTGACCTCATGTCTGCTACATGCCCTTCCCATCTCAACTTCCTTGACTTGATCATTCTAATTATACTTGGAGAAGAGTAAAGTTATGAAACACTTCATTATGCAGTTTTCTCCAACCTCCTGTCACTTCCTCCCTCTTCAGTCCAAATATCCTCAACACCCTGTTCTCAAAAACCCTCAGTCTATGTTCCTCCTTTAATGTCAGAGACAAATTTTCACACCCAAACAGAACCACAGACAAAATTAAAATTCTGTATATTCTAATTTTTACGTTTTTAGATTGCATATGAGAAGACAGAACCTTTATTCTTGACTGAATGGTAGCAAACATTACCCAAATTCAATCTTCTCTTCCTCCCAGTTCAAATTTTGATTTGTTACTGTCGTTCCTTAGCTGGGATAGCTTAGTCAGTACAGCGACTGGCTATGGCCTGGACAATCAAGGGGTCAGAGTTCAAGTCCCAGTAGGGTCAAGAGTTTTCTCTTTTCCATGTTGTCCAGACTGGCTCTTCAGCCCACCCAACCTCCTATCCAATGGGTACCAGGGGCACTTTGCCAGGGGTAAAGCAGCTGGGACGTGAAGCTGATCACTCACCTCCAGCTAGTGTAAAGGTCAAGAAAATATGGATCTATACACCCAATCCTCCATAAGCCTTCATGGCACAGTGCTTAATTAGTTAAGCAGAGGGAAAACTTTTACCGTAGTTCCTTATGTCATGATTTTGCCCTGCTATCTGGTGACAATACAATGGCACATAGTTTGTTGTCTCTGCATTTACTTCTAGACCAATCTCTGTGTTTTTCTTTATGGTATCTATATTATCACCCAGAAGATTCACATCATCAGCATAGAGCAAAAGCTGATGTGTCCCATTTAATTTCAGTCCCACCTGGTTTCCCTGGACCTTCCTAATAACATATTCTAAAGCAAAGTTAAAAGCAGTGGTGATAAATCATCTCCTTGTCTTAGACCATTCTAGTTAGGAAAATTATCAGACATTATCATTACATTTCTTGTAAACACATTTTAATCAGCCTAACTACTTTCATGGGTACCCCAAACTCTATGGGAATATTGTATACCGCTTCCCTCCTAACTGAAGTCTATGAATAGGTGATGTATTGTCTCACTGTACTCCCAGATTTCCACCAGCTGCTAATTAGAATTCCTTTTGTCACCATTGCATCCATTTTTAAGTATCCCTGCATTTGAAGGTAACAGTATATTTAGTTTATTATTTTTGAATTGAATTGAATTTATTTACATTCTATAAATCCTAAGCAGGTTAGTACCTTTGGATACACAACAAGTAAAAAGGTTACATACATAAGTACAGGCAATTTTAGCTTAAAAATCAATATAACTTAATTTTACATCATTCTCTATTTACATTGAAGTATTCATCTAAAGAGTAGAAGGAATGAGCATGTAGATAATTCTTTAACTCTGATTTAAACTTTTTAGTATCATTACCCAAGTTTTTAATACTTTGTGGCAGATTGTTGTTGTTAAGTGGTATATACTATTTTTCATCACATTAAGGTATCTGGTCACTGTACAGAGTTCATCAGCATATGCTGATTCTTGAAGAAGTCTGGAATGTGTGCCTCAATACATAACAAAAGGAGAAACAACTCAACAACAACACAGATCCTTAACAAATCATATAGAAGGGGGGGGGGGGAACAACACTGCCCAGACATCAGAGGATGGCAAACAGTACCCCAAACTCCCATTTTGACAGAAGAGGCAGGGAGACACAAACTTCAGAAGTAGAAAATTTTAAATATTAAGAACTATTAAGAACACTAATAATATATTTTTAACTTAAACACCTTTTTAATGTTAATAATTAAAAAATCTTTATACAAAAGTTTATGCATATGTACTATGATATATGTAACAGTGTGTCCCTAGCATGTTATTGTCCTCTGAAGATGGTCACAACTGACACAAACATGTAAAGACACTATATAAATATATACTGAGTCACAGTCAACAGTGCAGTCAATTCATTTTATAACAGTCTGGAATGTTGATTAACTAATTTTTCAAACATCTTATGGCATATAACAATAAATATGAGTTCACAGAGAGAACCAAACTCAACAAGTTCGGAGCTTGAACAGATGGAAAATTACTGAACATCATTCATGGTTGTGGTACAATGAACAGGTTTTAGAAGCGCAAGATATCTGCCAGAAAGTGTATACCTTGTGTGCATTACAAAATTTCTTACCTTGGACAAAAGTTGTTCAATTTCAAGGGCCATCGTTTCAAACATATGCTCACCACTCAGCAATGGCACAGTGTCAGCACTAGAAAATGCACAATAATTATAATAAAGAAAATAAGATTAACACAGTAACTAATTTCTGTAACCATACTTATAATACCTGTTAGTACCAACCTGTCGGACTTACTTCCTACTCCTCCATGACCTGTACCTAACTTACTGAATGATACAAGTTTCAGGTCAATCTCATTTTCAAGCTGCCGTGCCTGTTTCCGAAGATCTGAAAGATAGGTATCTTGTAGTAACTTGTAAGTGGGGGATTTCTGCCTGTGTCATCAATCAGACGGTTTAAGATTCCTGCGTTTCTGATTACAACCAGCTGAATTTGTGTGAACCTTTATACGGCACAAAACAAATTAACAACTAACGATTGCTGTCACTTTTCTTTCATAGTATTCACCTTTATCCAGGACTCTTATTGCAATAAAGTCACTGACAATGTTTACTTTACATACACGTACGAAAATTCACACAAGTTGCGCTGTCAACATTACCTTCCCATCCATTCGATCCCAACGACGTCGCCATTTTCTAGTGCCTTAAAGCCTTTCAGAAGCATTTCAGAGTATTGTTCATAGATGGTGATCAGGGTCAGATATGCGCGACATCTCTTATCAAAGCGGGAACGAAAAACTTTTAACTTACATTCATTATGCACAATTTTGTTGGTCCCTCAAATATTATGATTTGGCAGCTCTCACAGTTACCCGGATAATGCATACCCATGTCTGCGTGCATACTTATCTCGAGTGCTGGATATATCCCAGTAGGTGCAGTGAGTAGGCCACGGGCTGGACCACCGAGGAATCAGATTTCGACCTTTGGCAGCCGCAAGAGATATTTGAATAGAGTCCATATCGGCTCTCGTGTCCACCCACCTTCCGATCCAAAAGGGGACCGAGGACTCTTATCCCGACTGAAAAGTGAAAGGGGCATGAAACTGACCACAAACCTCAACCTGGTACCGATATTAAGAATGTGTGGAGCTATCCCTCCACTTCCCCACACGTCTTAATGGCATAGTGCTTAATTAAATAAATTGATAACGTTATGTTATACAATCTCCAATGATCAATTAAACAGGAACTCCATTTCTTCAGTGGAAAATATGTGATATTTAACTCTTGAATTACTAAGCAGGAGATCCCACTTTTCCTCAACTCTTATCAGAAGTCTCTTATTTCGATCTTCTTCTGAGTTATGGTGCCTTGTAGAAGGTAGGTACCAACGTTTCGGCAGCGCACACTGCCTTCATCTTAAGGACAGAAGTGAACTCCTTCTTGAATTGCAACCGTGCCTTTTGGAGATAAAGTAGGGTAATGATATCCCAGTGCTTAATTAAGCATCGAGCCATGAAGACATTTTGGAAGTAGTGATATGGTTCCAAGCATACAGAACCTCGGTGTTAACGGCCAGCTTCAGGGCCTGGAAGATTTTCCTCCAGGTAAAGATTCCCCAGTACCCACTGCACAAGAAGTTGAACGGGCTCAGAGTTGGTCTGGTCGCTGTGACGCAAAGAAAACCTCTTCTTCCTTCTGGAAATAAAATCCAACTTCCTCTGTCGTTCAGAACGGAACCTAGTCACTATGCCGACTGAGCTATTACGGCTTCATATTTTGGCGGTTCCCAAAGAATTCCGTTCCTCATTCAGGCCAGTTATCCGGCCGCGCGTCTGATCGTCCTTTCATCCAAATATGAACATCAATATTGGCTGACTCTTGGTTTAGGTAATGCGGAAGAAGATGCACCATCTCGGAATATACTTAGAAGGATAGAGGAAAACCATGAAATACCTCGGTCAGAATAGTTAGTTTCCGGGCAAGAATATAAGGGGATTTAATATGACCGTCAACACAACAATTTACAATTTTATAAAACGTGTTAATACCGTTTTATTTACTACGCCACTACATGTTTCGATCTGTGATCGCCATCACGTGCTTACAATAAATACATAACCGCCATCACTGAATTATTGTACTAATATGGATCCGTCTTACTGAATACCGCGAATTAAACATTCAATTTCTAAATTTTGGACATTTTTGGCTTTCTTCTAATGTGACAAGTTTGAAAGTTGAGAACTGTTTGATAAAATAGCGCAAAACAGAATATAGTTAGGATGATCTCCATAATATGTTACGTCGTGTTTTCCTCGATGTTTGTACAGTCACGTGATTGCATAACTATAGACGGAGTTTGGATTGGTATTTGGATTTATATAACACTTTTTTTTTCTTGGCACTACAGCCCCAGTGGGCCTAGGCCTACCTCCATGAACTTCCGTTCACTTCGATTTTTCTAGATCTTACACAGACGGTAGGACTCCTTGGGCGAGTGATCAGCTCGTCGCAAGGCCTCTACCTGTAGACAAACACAGAAAAACGCACACAAACATCCAAGCCCTGAGTGGGATTCGAACCCACGATCCCGGCTTCCGAGCGAGCGAAGACAGTGCACTCCTTAGACCGCTCGGCTACCGTGACCAGCTATATAACACTTACAGGTAGTAACTACAAGTAACTATAGCACCATCGCTATTTCACACAATCTGCAGTTCACTACAGCAAGTATTTAGTCTTCTCAGTCTGCTGTGTCTTCACCAGTGGACGTTCCCCTGCTCCCGGGATCATGTCCTCTCAGGCTCGTGACCATAAAAAATCAGTCTCCTACTTTCCTAACTTCCACCTCAAAACTTTACGACTGGCTGTTTACAGCCAATCAATTTCTCTTGGCGACAAGCCCCTTGAGACTCACGAGGAGAAAATTTTTAAACTGAACACTTGCAGCCATAGTCCTTATGTAACATCCTCTCTGATGAGATGATGGGCCTGTCGTCTACAATTGCTGCTGGCCCTTGCCAGCGCAATCATTCTCAGAATGGAGTCCCGCAGGACGCATAACTACATTTGTGTCTCAGATTCGAGACTCCCCAAACCTGTAGGACCACGACACCGTAATTATATCCCCCAAGAACAGGGTGGCTCAGTTATACTCCCAGGCACTTGGTTCGCTTTTCGCCATCTCCTACAACTCGCAGGGATACGGTGGAGGTATTCGACCTTGCCCCACACACGGGCTAAGACTCCCTTCTAATCGAAGTTAAAGTCAAAGTCACATTGCGACTGACAGTCAATAAGTCTTGGTGTCGAGCCCCATCTGGAGCTCATGACCAGATATTAATTATTACCGTTTGACAGTTACTGTCTTGTTTCTCTGGGGCGCCCTCTCTGACGAGAAGACGGGTCTGTCTTTTGTGTATGCTGCTGGCCCTTGCCAGCGCATTCTTTCTCGGGTCCGAGTCCCTTGGGACTCGCGACCATATTTTACTGTCTCGTCGCCTCCTACGACTCGCAGGGTCACGGTGGAGGTATTCGACACCGCATCCAATCGGGTGTGTCCCTTTGGTCCCGTTATATTGCCTATGGCGGACCCAATAGAAAACACTACTTCCAAGAATTCCTCTATTGTTGCGTGTCTATTTGTTGCCTAACAATGCTTGCTTATTTAGTTGTTACGCAACAGCGGAGAATTTCTTCTGGATCCATTATTCCAGATTGCAGCTATTCTGTCGCAATATTACACTTGCTTTCTTGAATCTGTAGCTTTTGTATACGTCCTGTTTCAGAGACCGACCCCATTTACACCTTATTTCCCACAAGACCAAGCACTTGCACAACACGGTCTTAAGGTCCACTGCATAATTCCAGAACCCAACTCCCCCCCCCCTTCCAAATCGTATTACATCAGTCATTCAGCAATGACCTCAGTGGTTAATGAACTTGTAGCGTACGAAAGGCTACATTGCACTTCTCATTTTAATTACTCAGGTTGGAAACACACGGCTGAACAAGTTCAGCTGGAGGTAATGCTCTATATTTGTGCTCGGGAGGTGCTTGTTCGAATCTTGTCCGAGACATCGACTATCCTGACTGAGTTTTTCGTGGTTTTTTTCCCAGTCTCTCCAGACATATTCCGGAATAATATCTCGATCCAGCCATCACCGCCCCCTTAGAAGTTCTTTCCGATTCATTGCTCATCTATCGCCTTACCAGCTGACTTCATAAAATCTATCCCTGTTAACAGGCCGTGGAGGCCCATAGGTTTGTGAGACGTCGAGGCTACCACATTTTCCAGACAATCGGCTCAAAGTTGGCGGTGAGTTTGTCAGCTTTACGCGCCGGCCGACCTTTACCTCTAGAAAGATTCCCGGTTCTCGTTTCTGCTAGAGGCTGAGTCGACCACAGGGCCATAATGCAGCTGGAAGGATTAGGTAAATTGAAAAATTCAATAACCTCGTCGGGAATCGAATCCGCCACCTTCCGGCTTATAGTATAGTGCCTCAACCAACTACGCTACCGCGTGCGCCCGTCTGACTGTATATGCCCTCGATATTAAATGGCGTCGTTAGAGAGCCCACGAAAAATATGAACTAAATTAGTTACTATAGGATTCTGACGATGGTGTATAACACACTGATATGTTGGGTTTTTGGACTTTATCCATCGTCCTGGTTTTTAAGATAACAAATAAAAACACGACGTTTCGGAAACTGGATCTCTTTCCGTCCTCAGGTGAAGGAAAACACCTATTCAGTTGGGTCCGTTAGAAAGAGCTAGCCTCAATCACTGGACCTTTTATTTCTTAGATGCTGAGGCTGAGGCAGAAGGGACTCTATTCTGTTGGCTGTTGAGACGAGAAAACTTGCGAATATGAATATCTCTCTGCTTATTGAAGATTTTCTTGAATGAACTTTCCACAGCGGTAAAGATACGCTGTTGGTCGGATATATTTACAGATGACTTGAGAAATTCCTCCAGTTGATTGATTTCATATAATTGGGAAGTCTTCTTATGCCAATGATAGTGTAACCTATCCCTAAAAAGTGCCTGGCTGGCACGTAAGGCAATTTTGGAGGTCCGTCGACTATTGAAGGGCGTCTTTACAGAGAAGGCTTTGGGGATGATACCCTGAGACTTGCATCTCCTGAGGAAAGTTATATGATTGAGGGTTTTCGCTAACTGAATATTCAGGCGTTCTAATTTTCTAAAAGAAGGGTAAATACCGGGTCCATACCGGTTATACAAGTAGTTACTATAGGATTCTGACGATGGTGTATAACACACTGATATATTGGGTTTTTGGACTTCATCCATCGTCCTGGTTTTTAAGATAACAAATAAAAACACGACGTTTCGGAAACTGGATCTGTTTCCGTCCTCAGGTGAAGAAAAACACCTATTCAGTTGGGTCCGTTAGAAAGAGCTAGCCTCAATCACTGGACCAATTATTGTGATTGAGGCTAGCTCTTTCTAACGGACCCAACTGAATAGGTGTTTTTCTTCACCTGAGGACGGAAACAGATCCAGTTTCCGAAACGTCGTGTTTTTATTTGTTATCTTAAAAACCAGGACGATGGATAAAGTCCAAAAACCCAACATATCAGTATGAACTAAATTGCTGTACACCTTTTTCAGAAAGTTTTGTTTGTTCCAGGTCGTGTTTCTGCAAATAAAAAGTCTGTTTATCTACACTTATAGAATCAAAAACGAAGATGTTTGTCAGTCGGTTTCGGATAACCGAAGTTTCCGCAGTGTTAAGTTCGCTGGTCACTACAGGAAGTGGCAGAACAATCCTGGTCCAACACTTTCTATTGGAAAATAACAGGCAGGGATTGCACGTACAGGTTTTACTCCCCGTTTCGCTGTTAATCAGGGGGAGGGGGTCAGGGGTATTACATATGGTACGAATGTTTTCACACATCGACTCACTCTTCTTAGGGTCACGTGGAGAGAACGAGAAGTGGGAACAGAGATGTGTAACTAAATCATATTACGCTATCGAACATTATCGTATTCTTCTAGTAAGTACGTTCCGTTGCGATTTGTGCCAGACTTTTCAGGCCCTTCGTAACGTCATCTGTGTTTCTTGACCCCCCCTCTACCCCCACTTCTCTGAAAATCTACTGACCTAGCCCCCTGTGTACGAAAAGAATGGTTCGGCGAGAAAAGTACCATTAACTTTTTAGTTTCTTTTGTGCGTGTGCTTTTGTGTGATACTAAATGAGACCGCATCATTGCGTCAGTAGTGCAGTGCTTTTGGGTGTAAGTGAGTGCTTCTGTGTGTGGTTATTTTGAATTTCAAGCCTGTAGTACGATTGTGGTTGAGAGACTATTGGAAACTTCGCTTTCGAATCAAAAACTAGAAGAAGATTTAACATTCTTCGGTGAAAAACGCGGTGTATCATCAATAAGCTTCTAGGTGAAGGTGTACGGTCCAATAGTGTAAACGTGATTACACAGAGTTAGCATTAATTTCAAGGAAAACATACAGCAACAGAGAATAATGTAATTTTGGTCCTTATTTTAACACATGCCGTACATGCAAACGAAGAAATGTTGAACAATTTAAAAACAAATTTTAAATGATTCGAAGTCACGGAAGTCTTTGTCTCTATGATTACCAGAGAATCTAAAAGCAAGATATGAGAAATATCGTCCCTGCCCCAACAAACATAAGTGATAAAGAGAGAACACTTTTAGGTTCATGCCTTCCATGTTAGCGTCTGCCGGCTGTCTGCATGATCGGTCCGTGGTGGTAGAGGACACAGATGAGCCTAGCGGGGTCCGAGTACTCCCCTGTCCCTAAGGGGCATTGCATTGGAACCAAAAGGAGTAAGGTGTTGAGCATGTCACGGCCGGGGGGGGGGGTCCCTTTTATTCGAAATATACTTCTTAATACCCAATAAGCCTAAAGTTGCTGAGAAGAGGGTAAGTACCCGTGTAACATAAAAGTAAATTCTGAAAATATTTTCACGTGAATTAGTGGTGCGTGACTGCTGACGGGTTTTGGATTGCTGACTGGATTTATTGACACCTTGTATACACAACTCGTAACTACAAGTAATACAGCGCTATCGCTGATCTATACACTTTACAGTTCACCCTTACACCCACTAGTGTTCTCAGTCTTCATTAGTCGTATTCTGGTAAGGGGTTTATAACAGTCTCAATGTCACTGCAGCATACTCTGTTTCATCTCTGCGGGAATGCGTTTACCGAGCCGCTGTCCATCAATGGAGGTCTCCTCTGGCTTCACGGTTTCGGCCTTCAGGCATCGTGTCACAATATGAACGTTTAAGAAAACAAAAATTCTTCACTCTCTTAAATACATATATGGGAAGGGGAGGCAATGTAATAGGTCCTGGAGTCATCTCTTCAGACGATCAAGAACCGCCACTGGAAGCAATGTTGTTATTTTACATTGTACTAAAAATAGCCTTAATACACTTTCACATTTTCGACGGTCTATTACCAAACATAATTTCAGAACAGTACATTAAGCGGCGCTAGTGTCTCTCCCATCTCAGGAATTCGTAATAACGTAAAAAGTATGAGAATAAGGTAGCCTCAAGTAGTAATATTTATATATAAGGTAATAAGGTAAGAGTGAGATTGTCCCTGGACTTAAATAAGCACCACTTCATGAAGACGTATGGGGAATGGAGGTGTAGATCCATCATTTTTCACGTCGGCATTAGGAGGTGAGTGGTCAGATTCACGCCTCGGCCGCTTTACTCCAGGGGAAGGAGCCGTGGTACCCATTGGAGAGGAGGGTGGGTTGGTCCCAGATGTTGTGGAGTAAGTGAAGTAAAGACAGCGCCATAGCTCAAGCGGTTAGTCGCTGGCTTCCCACCGTGGCGGCCCGGGTTCGATCCCGGCTCTGGTCAAGTGGGATTTGTGGTGGACAAAGTGGCGCTGGGGCAGCTTTTCTCCGAGTACTTCGGTTTCCCCTGAAAATCTTCATTCCACCAATTGCTCCACAATCACCCTCACCTATCATCTGGGGCTGGTACAATAGGCCAGAAGTGGCCGCAGTACAAGGGACTTAGTCCTACCCCCACTAGCAATAAAAAAATATATAAAAAAAAGTAAACTAAAGGTATCCTTATAACAGGCCGCGGAGCCCCGTAGGGTTGTCAGATGTTGAGGTTCCCACATTTTCTAGACAATCGGCTCATAGATGGCGGCAAGGTTGTCAGCCTTACGCGCCGGCCGTCTTTAGCCCCAAGAACATTCCAAGAATATTCCTGGTACTTATTTCTGTTAGAGGCTGAGTCGGCCCCAGGGCGGTAGTGCGGCTGGAAGGAATAGGTAAATTGAAAAAAAAACTCCAATGATATCATCGGGATTCGATCCCGCGACATTCCGGCTTGTAGTATAGTGCCTCAACCAACTACGCTACGGCGTGCCCGAAAAATTTATAACCCTTACCAGGAACCTAACCCTGGTCATCCAGCCCGTAGCACATCTCTATCTCAGCTCATATATATATAGACATATAAGCCTATTATACCAATAAAATTTCTTTAAATTTGGTCATTGAGTTCAAAAGACGAATGGAGAAACAAACACATGCAAACAGCATAGCGATCATGTGAGCCTGCTTCTACCGTAAAAAAGGTAAGTAGGTTAGAAAGTATGTGCTCGGCTACAGCGTATCCTTTCACTGTCTCTAAATGGAGTTTACTGTTGCTGTTAGTGATAAGCATACAGACAAAGTCATTGATCTATATGACACCTGCCTGCCTTAGTTTCACTCCTTTCGCCTTTGACTTTCACTCCTCCAGTGCACTTGTCTGTGGCTTCCGCTTCTTCGTTTATTTCTGCCAGTTCCGATGAACAGGAAGTCCACGCCTTTTTATAAATTCCAAAAAATGAAGGCAAAGCAGAAAAATATGTGAGGTGTCGAAATCAGCAATAACTTCATTATTCCATCGTGAGATTTGTGGTTCTAGTTTCTGTGAGCAGGGACTTCTAACCTGAAGATGGAGGCGTCAGACTCCTCTGAATCCTTGTTATCTATCTAACGAACTAAACGGCTAAACGTAACAGGGGACGGTACTCTATTTACTCTATCTTACGAGTTATCGCGAAGGAACATTCTCTAAACGTGCAGCTAGCATGACAGCATCGATAAACTTGCAGTTTCTGTAATCTCGTCATGTTTTATTAATGTGTCAGTCTGGGTGTATATTTTTCAGGCGGTATGAGAGGTCAATTTGTATGTAACATGCACTCCACGAAGCTGGGTCTACTTTTCTACTTCCTGTTTTCCTTGTACTCGTGTCATGTGCCCCAGATTGCTTTGGCGTATGACGCTGCTTCCTTGTCGTTTTATGAGCGCACTGGAGTTTGCTACTCCCCTTCTAGCTGGGTTTATGGCGAACTTGAATTTCAATATAATTTAAGGTAGAAAGTAGTCCATGGCTGCCGTGACGTCCCTCCTCGCTCGCAGTGAGTTGATTCAGTACCGAGAGCTGTAATTCTGCTTCGTATTTTACAGACCCTCAGGTCGAATCTCGATAACACATCTCTTTAACTGAGGTATTATATTGCAATACTATCACATAACAAACAATTTTCGCCTATCTTGTTATTCGCGTTCATAATCCTCTTTCGACGCTGAAAAACCTACAAATAATTGTACACGTATCGTTAATCGTGAGAATAATCATTGGATCTTCTTGAAAATACAGACCTGAGCTTGCTCAGGAAAGGAATAGTCATGGGCCCTTTTGAACTGTGTTGAACCTTTAGGTTCCATGACAGAAAGAGAAATTTTTAGGCCAGCTGAGCTATTGTCATTTTCTCAGGTAGGACTCTTCTCTTAGATAATATATCGTCACGTATTATCGTCTCTAGACACGGGGGTTTTTATTGTTAACTGGATTTACTGAACTGTTGCATCTCGTAACTATTAGCAAGTATAATGCTGCCACTGATTCACGCACTTTACAAATCACTACAGCACTCGCTAATCCTTCTCAGTTCGTCTTCACTAGCGGTTGCCTGGTAACGGATCCCAACAACGCCCTCTTCTGCTCACGTATTTACCGGCTGAAAACTGTTTCGTATCTAACTTGTTGCTCCAGATGTCCTCACATTCTTGATTGCAACTCTCAGCAGAGGAGGAGTGATCAACAGTAGCCAGACTCCTTCCCTCGTCGAAAAGGAGGCTCCATTTCAAAACACGTTTAAGTCTCGAAAGAACAAAAATATGGTCATGGGTCCCGACGGAACCTGAAACCAAGAACGACTGTACTGGCGAGGGCCAGCAGCAATTTACTGGGTTGGATTCTCAATTGGTTGGCTTCTCTAGCTATATCGCTTCGGGGCGGATTAATAGAAAACACTGTTCCCAGCAGTTTCTCTATTTTGGTGTCACGTGTTCATTGAGGCGGAAACATGTTTATAGGACCGTTCCCTAACAATGGCTGTCTCTTCTGACTCCATCATTCGGGTCTTTCAGTTACCGCGTCATAATATCATGGTTAAATAATGAATCTTCGTACTTCATAGGTGGTGTTCTCTTCCTAGGCATGATGTACAGCAGTCTGAGCATTTCGTTGCACGAATGGAAGGTGCAGCAACTGGTGCTCATGGCGGCCCTGTGCTACTCTCCAGTCCGAGGGAACCTGTTTCAAAACAAACCTCTGGCCACAGAGTACGATTTCATCGTGGTGGGCGGTGGCTCCGCTGGTGCCGTGGTGGCCAGCAGGTTGTCCGAAATCTCTGGGTGGTCAGTTCTGCTGCTGGAGGCTGGAGGAGACGAAAAGATAATATCGCAGGTACATTAACTTTTGGAACAGATAAAAGTTTCCTTGGAGGTTACGGAGATGTTATCACTATTTAATGGTTTGGTTTACAGACTGAAATGCTTTAAACGTAGTAAAACAGATAAATGTTTTGCAAACGACTTAGTTTATAATAAAAGTGAGAATAATCTTGCAATCTTGCATTTCATTAATTAAGCTTCGCTCTTCATGGTGTCCATACAAACCGCGCAGAGCAGAGAGGTGCTACACATATTCCCCTCTTCTTATATCTCAATTTTTGTCCTTCTCAGAATTTGATTTGCGAGCGTTTATTTATTTGTAAGGTGCAATTACAATTCTGAGGTATTTGCCGGAAGGGTAGCGGTTTGAATAATATTCGCCCAGGCTCTGTTAAGCCAGGAGGTTCAGAGGTTCAAGTGACTGGAGGGTGAACTCACACACTTAGGCGATTAAACTAGTAAGAAATTAGGGTGCCATATCTCAGGCTGTTAGTCGCTGGCTTCCCACTGCGGCGGCCAGGGTTCTAGCTCGGTTCTGGTCATGTAGAATTTGTGGTGGGCAAAGTGGCATTGGGACAGGTTTTCTCCGAATACTTGGGTTTCTCCTGTCAATCTCCATTCCACAATCTCTATCATCTGAGGCTGGTACAATAGACCAGTAGTGGCCGCAGTACTAAGTGAACTCAGTCTCACCCCAACAAGAATAATAATAATAAAAATTATTGAGTAATTAAAATGAAAAGGTTTATTCACACTTCGACCACTTTGATCGAGATGTATATAACTGTATTAGGTTATAATTTCTTACATCGCTCCGCACCATAGATACAAAAAAGTGACTTTATTTTTTTTTTAGTTTCTTGGGGTAGGGTGAGACTGAGTCCACTTGGTACATCGACCACTATTTAGCTTATTGTACCAGACCCGGATGATAGATGTGGAGCAGTCGGTTGAACAAAAATTGCCAGGGGAAACCGAAGTACTCGAAGAAAATATCCTTCAGTGCCACTTTGTCCATCACAAATCCCACATGACCTGACCTGGGTTCGAATCCGCGCCGGGAAGCCGGCGGCTAACCATCTGAGCTATGGCACGGTCGATTTTACTCTGAATGATGTAAGATTAGGTATGACGAAATCACTGTTCTTTGAAGTTGAGTGTAAAGAAGTCGGGTTTCATTTAGCGCTTAGAACGCTGACGAAGAGTTCGAATTTGTAAAGGACGACTTGGATAATATTAGTTTGCGACAATACATTTTCTGCGAATATTCTGTCGCCCGAAACCAGAGCGGCAGTGGCTTGATTGTGTACATTTCTTGCTGGCTGTTAACTTTTGTAATTCGAACTCAATAAACAAATACGAATCGCTCTTTCGCAATAGTCTCTACACGCGTTGTCATGGATACCGCAATCCAAGTACTTACCTCGTCATCAAAACTTAACACGCTACCTATCATCGCAAAGGCAAGCTTGAAACAATGAACGAAACAGCACAACTGACAAAGGCAAGTGCATTCAGAAACAGACAATATACCTTAAACAAGATTCGAAGAGAGCGAAATGCAGCTGTGCTGTGGCTGCGACCCGGCGTATTCCTATTTTCTAACCAACTGCTACCGAGTCTAGGATCTGAGATTCTCACAACGGTTGTTACGAATGGTAATAGTTCTGTGATATGGCGCCGCATAGTTCGTTGAAAGCCGCTCAAGGTAGCCGAGCGGTCTAAGGCATGTACTGTCTTCGATCGCTCGGAAAGCCGGGGTCGTGGGTTCGAATACCACACAAGGCATGGATGTTTGATATGTGTATGTGTTGTCCTGTGTTAAGGTAGAAGCCTTGCGACGGCTAATCACTCGTCCAAGGAGTCATACCATCTGTAAAATGATCATGAGACTGACAATCAGAGGCCAGGGCCTAAGAGGGCTGTAGATCAAGTGAAAAAAAAAAAGAAGGTCAACCAACGTTTCGAAGAATCATGTCGCCTCCGTCTTCAGGGTAAGACCCAAGCATGCAACCAGCAGAAACAGGCTGCAGGCTGAGTTTTCTTACTTGGCGTAATAGTAGACCCTGAAGATAGAGGCGACATGTTCCTCCGAAACGTTGGTTGATTTTCAGCGGACTACACGGCGTTATGTTCCAGAAGACAGGACTCTGCTAGATGAATACGGAGTGTTTGCCAAAAAGATTTTCACGGGAGTCAAACCATGGACTCTTGCCACTTCAGATCATCACTGTACGTAACTAACTGCACGGAACAGAATACCTCTTGAGATAATCATAATCACTCAGTTAAGAAATTCTTCGTGTATCGTCGAACTCGAAGTTTCGTTACCGTGTTCAGAAGGGTTAGCCTATTCAACATTCCATGTTACAGGGTTCACAGTTTCCCAGCCAAATCCCAAGATGGAGGACTAAGCGATGCAAGCTTGCTTACTCGTTGTAACCAGCAGCTAAAACCCTCAGGCCTCTCCGGAAGCCGTTTCTCCATCTGGAACTAGAGAACGCGGCATGCCTTTGAGGACGACGGTCCCACGTGACATTAAAGCCGATTATCGTACATAAAAATGGCCTACTTTAAATAATTTATTGAAACAATTGTATTTTCGCGACTATTACGTTCGAATAATTTAGAAAGGAAAAATCAGCCTTCCGATATATTCAGTTAATTCACAACAGAAGTATTTACTAACTGATTGCATGAAGCTGAGGCCTTCTTGAGGACCGACCAGTCTTTTATGAACAACTTTGACTTAAACGTTCCCTCTGTGATAAATATTCCTGGGGTTATGTGCAGATGCCTGCAGAAACACTTTCATGTAAATTGTCCGCGTTATTGCTGCTTCGTTTTATCTGCGCCTAGAATTTGCTCACTTATCTTGATAAAACTCCCCAATATATTTCATGAATATCTGTTCTGCTTTTCTCAAAATGTTTCATGCGGACAGACGGATGGACAGACATGACTGAACGCAAATTCAGAAACATATGTTTGAGCCATTCTGATGAGAAAAAAACCACGTATCATAATGTGTGTATTTTTTCCGCTATAATCGATTGTCAAGTCGTGAGGTTAGCAAATTCATTTCATAATCGACACGTCTCGAAATCAAAACTCGATCCAGAAACCTACTACTCAGATTGAGGATTCTTGAAGTTTCACTCAGTCTCCCCAGGACTACGATATGATATTACTTTAAAGAAGGCCGGGGCTTTCTTTCAATTCTTTTCCAATTCATCCCGCCATTCGGCGTTACATAAACTTAGCAACTGAACGCGTCGTTAAATAAACCCAGAATAGCAGACAACTGACTATGCAACAAAGTTTGGCAACCTCAGTAAACATCAACGGGAAACACAATACCAGAGAATATAGAATATAAACCTTAAACACAACACAACCGTTCCTTTTAGAACAGTGAACTAAAAAAAGCACTGCAATAAATAAATCACCTAAAATATTTTTTCTGATGATGACCATGTTAGGTCGAAACAGGTTACATAAGTGGCATTTATAACAGATTGTAACGCAGTACGCCCCTTATCCTGGCAGATTTTATTTGTTTGGCCTGTCATTGAGAAAGAGCACTGCTCTGTTGGTTAAACGTACCATTTTCATCCGGGCGTGTTCTGATGTTGAATCTTATGGAGCATTCTACTTCTAACGCCCCAATGATTGATGATGTCTTAAGACTCAGATCTGAATCGTATGTTTAAACATGTTTTGAGCGGAGTGCTTACGGCGTGACTGCAGCGGGATTGTTCGTTAGAAAGGAGAGTTGTTCACGTTTGCATGAATTTAATTATTTACTTGCTGAATATCTCTACGGTAGCCCTGAGAGTACCAAAAGGAAACCCGGTGTCAGGGGGTATAACTGGGCCACCCTGTCACTGGGAGACGTAAATACAGGGACCTGGTCCTCCAGGTTGGGGGTTGCATGCAAGGTTGATGACCTTGCTCTGTAAAAAATTTTTGTTCCAAAATCTAAAGAAGTGAAAACCGAATCATCTAATTCAAGACAAATCTAACATGATATTCTAAGGAAGGTTATGGCTCAAAAAGGGCTGCTCTGCCAAAAGTAATACATCAACAGTCTACGAGCACGACAAGACTTCGCGGCTTCAGGACTCTCCATGCAAACGAAACCATTAACCAGTGAAACGGAATGCTGAAGTATAATAATATGACCATTTGCTTCAGATCCCGATGCTGGTGTCCTACACGATCCCTACGGCCCTCAACTGGGGCTACCGCGCCGAGTTCACGCCCGGGGTATGTCTGGGCCTCAGGGACCGACGCTGCATTTGGCCACGCGGCAAAGTGCTGGGAGGAACAAGTGTCATTAATTACATGCTGTATACACGAGGCAACCGTATCGACTACGACCTGTGGGAAGCTTCAGGAAACCCCGGGTGGGGATATGAACAGATCCTCAGTTACTTTCTCAAGGTTTGTGCCATGGTACTGCATTGTGGGATTCCACTCAAATCTGCAGGATCTGAGGTTCTCATTGCGGTGGTGGTTGTGAAAGTCAACTGAAGTTTAGGAGGAACATGTTACCTCCGTCATCAGGATTGAGGAGTCAGTCAAGCAAGAAGCCAGCATGAATTATTGCTTTGCTTATTGCCTGCTTCGTGCTGGTTTCTTTCTTGACATATTCTTCCAGTTTACAGATGAAAATGACATGTTCCTCCGAAATGCTGGTTGAGTTGCAGCTGACTGCACGGTGTTACATCCCGAAATATAGGACTTCTCTTTGATCTGAATTGGACTTGTAACTGAACTGGATCTGAGAGCATTTGGTTCTCCTCAGTCAGCCAGGAGCGCCTATTCCTACATCCTTTCCAATTCATTATTCGCTAATTATTCTACCATCAGACGCTGAACAGTCTGAGACGCTGACAGAGTCGCTAAATAACCCATCTATCTGCCTGCCTGCTTGCCTAACTCCCTACCTACTTACCTACTCACCTACCCAACCACCCATCCATCCATCCATCCACCCATAAATCCACCTACCTACCTACCCATCTATCTATCTATCTATCTATCTATCTATCTATCCATTTATCCATCCATGTACTCCTGTTGCTGCCACTTGGAGCACTGGGCACCTGTCGAACGCTTGTTTAGTTTTTTAATCTTAGAAAGTCGGTAGGACTCCTTGGACGGGGGATCAGTCCGTCACAAGGCCATTACCTACACCTAAACAAAGAATAAACGCAGAGGAATATCCATGCCTTAAATGGGATTCGAACCCATGATCCCAGTGTTCGAATGGGTGAAGACATTAAATAAATCACAAATAAAGGTAAAAAGTTGAAGTAAATTTGTCCTTGTATTTAATTAATTAATATATATGGATAAATACCGTCTTAAGTGCAACAAATTTTATTGTAGTTTTTACTTCTTTTCCTCCTCCACACTATATGTTTCGGCCCTAAATGGCCATCATCAGGTGTGTATTTATCCATATATATTGTGTGAGTGTAACAGGATGCTGAAATATAATATTAATTAATTAATTAATCAATCACCAGGACATAAATACGTATAGGGAGTGGAGGTATAGCTCCATCATTCTTGACATAGTACTAGATGAAGATAAGAGGTCATCTCCACATCCCAGCCACTTTATCCAGGGGAAAAGTGAACCTGGGGTCCACTGGATATGGTTAGCCCCTAGTGTTGGTCTGAAATTATCTGTGTTCTGCTTTCCACCTGCTTTCACCGGCGTATTCATCGAGCCTGAAAATGGAGGCGACAGACTCCCTCTGAAATTTCGATTGAATTTCAAGGCACTACAAGGAGTTAATCCCAGAAGATAGAATACTTTATAGCAATTGCTGTGAGAATCTAAAATCTGATATGCTTTAAAATGTGTTCTCCATTATACGTGTATGTTCATTTTACCACTCTGTGCAAAGAACTCATATGAAGTCATGCCCGCTTGAAGATTACTGTTGCTGACGGCATACTTTATTGAAATCATGCGTTAGAATATTTGTTTCGATTTCTGTGGAAGTGCAAAATGGCCTCTGTTACAGTCTGAAGACCAACAGAATCCCTACCTGGCTAGAAGCCCTTATCACTCCACGGGCGGCCCTCTCGCGGTCAGTGAGGCCCCCTTCCGCACACCTCTCTCTGTCGCCTTTCTGAGGGCCGCCAACTCCATTGGCTACCCACTACGGGACACGAACGGTGAACCTCACACAGGTTTCCAGTTCGTACAGGTAATCTGCAATATAAACAGCTCTCATTAATGCATGAATATTTCTTCAACAATTATCGATTCACAATGGGCTGAGCAAGGCTGTGCTTAATCACATTTCTTTCTAGTTTCTGGCTAGAATAGATCCTCTAATAAGCGTACAGTACTTCATAGAGGCCCTGCTTGTGGGTTTACACTGATGATAAGGTAGCAAACGTGCGAACGTATGACGTGGCAACGACAGGAGTGCCAAATATTGCGTGCTAACACATCTGAAACAATGCAAAATTTTCATTAAGGAGATTTTTTTTTTGCGAAACGTAAAACAACAAGAGGGCAAAACGAAACTTCCGGTTTGATGGCGATAACAAAGAAGCCATAAGAAATTGTTTGTGTAGAACATAAACATACAAATCCTCTACGAATGTATGCACTGCATTTTATATATTAACATTAATAACAATTAACGCGGCAACAGATTAAAACTTTAAAATTACACATAATAAATTTAACATATTATAAATTTGTAGCAGTGAAGATTATACATGGAAATAAATCACTAAACAGTATTCCAGGCGACACGCAGTAGCGTATTTGGTTGAGGCACTATGCTACAAGCTGGAAGGTCGCGGATTCGAGTCCTGATGAGGTGGACTTTTCAATTTACCTAATCCCTCAAGCCGCAATATGACCCTCGGGTCGACTCAGCCTCTATCAGAAATGAGTACCACAAATCTTCCTTGAATGTAAAGGGCGGCTGGCGCTTAAGTCTGACAACCTCACCGCCATCTGTGAGCCGATTGTCTAGAAAATGTTGGAGCCTCGACGTCTCACAACACTATGGGCCTTCACGGCCTGTTACAAGGATATACACGTATAAAGTATAGTTCTTGCTAGCCTCAGCATACAGACTGCAGCGTTTTAAGGAAAATGACATCAGAATTTACTCCAAGAACTTCTTTCTAGAACGAAAGCGACCTGAAATAATATCATATTAATAATAAGGCAAGAAACATGCGTGTGAGATTTTCATATTAGATTCTAAAGTCGTATTGTGTTAGAAACATATATTTCTGCAATCAATAATTTACCCTGATTTCAACGCGCTTAAACAATTTGTTGTCAGGGAACGGCTCTCCGGGGCACGCGCTGTAGCTCCAACAAAGCATTCCTCGGATCTAGCATAAGAAGCAGGCCCAACCTTGAGATCTCGCTGAGATCCCGAGTGACTCGCCTTCTCTTGGAAGGAAGTAAGGTGACCGGTATCGAGGTGGCCAGAGACGGGAAGCGCTATCGCGTTAAAGCGCGGAAGGAGGTAATCTTGTCTGCAGGCAGCGTCAACTCCCCGCAGATACTCATGCTCTCTGGCATTGGACCCCGGAGTCACCTGCAGGTAAGTCTATAAAAGTCTGGAGCAGGCTCCGGGCTCAGTGGTAGTAGCTCGAATCTAGGTCAGGGGCATGGGTATCCCATTTAGAATTTTCAGGGACTTTCTAGCTCAAACAAACTAACGTTGTGATTGTACACGTACCTCGGAAAGAGCACGGCGAAAATGCATTCCAATATGAAGCATTCATATTTCTGGCTCCCATTGTGGTCGCTATTGTGGACAATGTTGTCGACTTTTCGGAGGTGCATGCTACCTCTTGGGGCTCATAACCAGAATTGTATTTATAAATTTGAACATCCAGTAGTTTTCTTGCTAATTGGGTGGGACTAAGTCCCTTGTACTGCGGCCACTTCTGACCTATTGTACCAGCCCCAGATGATAGGTGAGGGTGATTGTGGAGCAATTGGTGGAATGAAGATTGGCAGGGGAAACCGAAGTACTCGGAGAAAACCTGCCCCAGTGCCACTTTGTTCACCACAAATCCCACTTGACCAGACCCGGGATCGAACCCGGGCCGCCGCGGTGGGAAGCCAGCGAATAACCAATTGAGCTATGGCGCGGCCAACATTCAGTAGTAGTTGTCCGTGACATCCTCTCTGACAAAAGCGTGGGTCCGTATTTTGTCAATGTCTTGGTCTTCGTCAAGTGTTCATATTCATACCTACTTACAGTTACAGCATAATGCAGATCACTGTTACTTATAATTTTACATTTGTACTCTATACCCAAGGCTTCGGCCAGTCCAGGCTCCGGAAGGCACATCATCTTTTACTGTGCTTACTTTATGCTATAACGCCAGCTTAGCCATTTCAATAGCCACAAATTCGACCGCGCCAAATTTAAATTCCTTTTATTCTCTGTCGTGCTTTGCCATGTCGTATATCAAGAATATTTGCATCTTGGTGTGTCTGCATACATCCCGTGCATAATTGCAAGCGTATTGTGACATGACGCCTGAAAACCGCAATAGTGGAGTCGGATCCAGGCGTCCATTGCTAGTCAACGACTCGGTAATCATGTTTCCGCAGCAACGAATAATGACACGTCACAACAAATAGGAGAGAATAACATCGTTGCCTATGTAACAAGCGTAAAAACATTCCCAACGAGGTCAACAGTAGAACCTAAGTTGCTCAGTAGGGGGCGTTTCAATAAGTAAATTTCGTAAAAACGTATTGGAGACAATGAATTTCCATGGATACCAGAAACAGAACTCTTCAAGGAGGTGATTCCTATCCCAGCCGCCTGGTAGGTATGAAAGGAGGTCAGCTGAGAATCCGTCAGTCAGAAGTGAATTAGTGTGCTTTCGAGAGATAGGCATCGTTAAAGAATTCGGGAGACTCTGCAAGATTCATCGTGTTACCAAGCAAGCAGATACTGAAGACTGCTTTGTGTTTTATAGTTACAGTAATATTTAGGGCGTTATAATTAATTGTAGTTATGACTTCTGAATGTCCAATAAATCGGTTCGCCAATTCAAACCCCGTCTACGAGTCACTCATACGCATGACAATATGATAGTTTGGAAACCATGTGCGAATCACGAACTTGTGTACAAAGGTAAAGTTATCCCTGTGCTTAACTAATTAAGCATTATGCCATGAAGATGTATGTGGGAGTAGATGTACAGACCCACGTTTTTAGATCTCGGCACAAGTTGGAGGTAAATGGTTAGTTGAACTTCCCGGCAGTATTTATCCTCAGGGAAAGAGTCCCTGGTACCCATTAAATAGGGGGTTGGGCGAACCCTGAACCCGCCTGGACGAAATGGAGAAGTGAAAATTCTTAATCCTACCAGGACTCGAAATCCGACCCCTTGGTCGTCTAGCCCGCAGCCAGTCGCTGCTCTATCCCGGCTTTTGTACGACTTGAAAAATTACCGGTGGTGAGGAGAAAATTTGTTGCAGGCGCTGCAGTTTCTTGACAAGGAAGAAGAAAGATTAATGCATGCAACCATTTTTTTCAGTCCCGATGAGGTCATTGGATTTTTTTCAATTTACCTAATCCTTCCAGCCGCACTATGGCCCTGGGGTCGACTCAGCCTCTAACAGAAATGAGTACCAGGAATTAATTAAATAATTTTCCTGGGGAGTAAAGCGCGGCCGGCGCGTAAGGCTGACAACCTTATCGCCATCTTTGAGCCAATTGTCTAGATAATGTGGGACCCTCAACGTCTCACAACCTTATACGGTCTTAACGGCCTGGTACAGGGATAGCTTTACTCTACTTTTACCATTTGTTCATATGCATATGCATTGTTTCTATGCGAATTACGGAGCCAGAATTTACTTATTCTTCTATGCCTATATATGTTCGGCATATCCGTGAAATTGTTTCCAAAAAAATAATAGATCTCAATGTGATCTCTATTTTATGTAATATATTACTTGTATGCAAAAATAACAACTTCTGATAAATAAATCGGTTCAATTGGGTTTCCTCAGAAACTGGCCATCACAGAAGAAATAGTTAACATAACATGTAGTACTGCTTGAGATCTACAAGTAACCAATTAACCAAGGAAAAAGCTATTCCTGTAACAGGCCGTGAATGCCCATAGTGTTGTGAGACGTCGAGGCTCCCATATTTTCAGGACAATCTGCTCACAGGTGGAACCGGATGCCCTTTACCCCCCAGGAAGATTCATGGTTCTCATTTCTATTAGAGGCTGAGCCGACCCCATGGCCATATTACGGATGGAAGAATTAGGTCAATCGAAAACTTCATTGACCTCATCGGGACTGAACTCGCGAACTTCCAGCTTGTAGCATAAGCCCAGTGTAACTAACTTTCTGTTTCCCTAGAACACTGCACTCCCTGAGCAGTACACACAATATTAGCTAATCAATAAATTCTCTGTTATACGGACCACAAAGAATCATGATAATCAAACCGTCTGTCATGTCCTTCAGTTTGCGATATGGTGCATACCACATTGCGGACCCGTTGTTTTTTCTTTAGGGTGACAGGAAATGAGCGTGATCATGTTACTGGCTAAGCTAGCAAACATTCCCGAGGTCAACTACGCAGTAGTTATGATGCAACATGGCCACACAGCGAGATATAGTGGGTTGCAACATAACGCGTCAGAAAAGGGCCAATTGGCCCGCCCGGTCCGCAACGCTATAGAAACGTAGAGGGCCAATTAGCCCCACCGGTACTGAAAGTGCTTAATACAATAGCTACAGAGAAAAGTAATTTCTGGCTCTCTGCATTGCGATGCATGGAGTTTGGTTAGTTTTGCTACTGCTAGTTTCCATATGCAATAATATGTACCAGTATGTTACATGCAATAGTTGATCATCAAGGCAACTGATGTATGAAGAATCGCACAGAAAGTACTTAAAAATATGTGTACTGAGAAGTGTTGTTCTTATCATTGTAGACAATCAGTGTCATGTCCTTCTTCTCTACAGTCTTCTTCAAGAGTACTGCAATCTCGTAATGTCCATTGCATGCAAAGCATAATCGTTCCATGCACAAAGGGCATGTGCACGTTTACTACTACGAGCTACACCCTAAGGACTGTCAACTGCTTCCTTCACGCAGGAGCTGAACATAAGCCTGGTGCGTGACCTTGCCGTGGGGCTGAACTTGCAGGATCATGTGGGACTTGGCGGCCTCACCTTCCTGGTGAATCAGTCAGTTGGCATCACTGAGTCAGGGATACGGAATATAGGGACGATACTAAAGTGGCTGAAGGACGGTGGGGGCCCTCTCAGCGTACTCGGAGGCGCGGAGGCCATTGGACTCCTCAACACCGCCTCACCCCACGAGGAATGGCCCAACGTCGAGCTTATCTTCGCCGCGGGATCCACGAACTCAGATGAGGGGGGTCTCAGGATGGCTCACGATTTATCCGACGAGGTCTACAACAGGGTCTTCCTGCCCATCAAGGGGCATCCTTCCTTCACGATATTCCCAGTAGGTAAGGGAACATACTGCGGCTGTTGAAGTTCAGTGGCTGGGTGAGTAATTGGTTGTCTTCTCTTTCTGGAGAACTCTCCTCATGAAGACGCTCGGATAAAATATTTCGAAAGGCACTGAATGCAGATGACGATATTTTTGTTAAAATACTAGCAAAACAGTAGACGCGAACACTGAACAAGAACAAAAGTATTTCGAATATGCCCAAGTACATATCGGCAAATATTTAAAGCATCTATCGTCACTAAACTGGGGCACGCAGTAGCGTGTAGCTATGCTACGAGCCGGAAGGTCGCGGGTTCAAGTCCCGATGAGGTCATTGGATTTTTTTCAGCTGACCTAATCCTTCCAGCCGCACTAGGCCCTGGGGTTTACTCAGCCTCTAACAGGAATGAGTACCAGGAATTAATTAAATCATTTTCCTGGGGAGTAAAGCGCGGCCGGCGCGTAAGGCTGACAACCTTACCGCCATCTTTGAGCCGATTGGCCAGATAGTGTTGGACCCTCAACGTCTCACAACCCTATGGGCCTTCATGGCCAGGTACAGGGATAGCTATACTTTTTTGCTTTTTTTTTGTCACTAAACTACAGAACACATGGACAACCATTATATGGAATTACTTCCATATCTCTTGCAACTACACGGAATGTGGAAAGCGTTTCTAAACGAACACACCTTATCTATTTATGAACCCTCTAATTATGTGTAACACAAGAATCTGACTGTACTCTTGTGGTTCAGGATTGGATTCAGCGATGCGTCTTCTGAACACGATAATAACCTTCGGGTTTCATAAAAGGGGGGTACTTTCTTGTATACCTGAACAACTACTGTCATCTCAAGAAGAGGCCGTGCCATAGCTCAGGCGGTTAGTCACTGGCTTCGCACCGTGACGGCCCGGGTTCGAGCCCGGGTCTGGTCAAGTGGGATTTGTGGTGAACAAAGTGGCGTTGGAGCAGGTTTCCTCCGAGCACTTCGGTTTCCCTTGCCAATCTTCATTCCACCAAATTCTCCATCATCATAATCACCCGGTGCAGGTACAATAGGCCAATGAGTGACCGACGTGCCTAGTGGACCCAGCTGGACTCCACCCCCCCATTATGCGAATTTTTTGTAAAAAATGTCCGTAAGATTAAATGCAACTGCGATGAAGGAACATGCTGTTCCTAAGAAAAGAAAACATTCCGCAGGCAATGTCACAGCTGAGTTCGAGGTTCTCACAGCGGTCGTTATGAAGAGTGCTATCTTCTTGTGTAACACAACGCAGTCCGTTGAAATTCAACTTGACTTAGCTGACATCACGGCGTTATATCCCAAAGGCCAGTACTCTTAATATCATAGTATATTGAAGAATGACATGGGACTGCCCACTGTTTCGGTAACGGTAAAGCAGTCAAGCCGGCAGGGGCTTCAGTTACCATTGGCGCTTTAATTGACAGCGGGACTGTGAATAACAATACACAAATATTCAGGATTCGAATCCGAAACCCATCAACAAAAACATCAATGATTAAATTAAAATGGAAAAATTTCAGGTCTACGGCCACAAAGCAGAGGAGTTATCCGCCTGAAATCCAGCAACCCGTTTGACGCGCCACTGATGTACCCGAATTACTTTGCCGACCAGAGGGACGTCGATGTGATTGTGTCAGGTACGCGACTGGCATTGGAGTTGGTGCAGACGTCGGCATTCAAGCAGTTCGGCGTCAGACTCCACGATATTCCCATTCCGGGCTGTGAGCATCTCCAGTTCTCCACGGATGAATATTGGGAGTGCCACCTCAGGCACTATACAATGTTGTTCCACCATCAGGTACTGTGAGACGAACGGCTAGTGGCTTATTTTCACAGACAAAACCTAATGTCGAGATGTGATTAGTATTGTTGTATTTTATCTTGGAGGTCCCGAAGGGAGGCTCGCAAAGGCAAACAGCAAATCACTTCTCTACTCAGAATAGTCTCACAAAAACCACCCTCTCTTCTCGTTGAAGAGAAGACCCAATTAAAAAAAAAAAGAAAGAAAGAAATCTCTTGGATAAAACAAAAAATGATCATATGTTCCGAAGCCTCTCTAAACATTGTGGTATGTGTAATGCAATTATCTTTGCAACGTCGGATTCGTATCAATAAAAGTAGGTTTTCGATTAAGCTGATTGGTGAAGTGGTAACGCTCTAGAAGTGCTCGGTTCAAATCTCGGTCCAGACATCCGCCATCTTGACTGAGGTTCCTAAGTTCTAAGGGAAGTTAAGAGGTTAGTACCTAGATTAGGTCACCATCACGTTCTTCCAAATCATTCCAGCTCAATGTTCACCAGGCACCCTACTCTTAGGCGCCGTACAGTCTGTGATACTGAGTGTGTCGTATAGTAAATCACAATGAACAGATTTGCACCTTAAATAATTATAATCAAGATCAATGAAGCACAGGACCTACAAAATCGCAAACAACCATTTTAAAAAATATGAATACAATGGGGCAGGGATAGCATACTTAAAAAAGTAAAGTTTTCCCTTTACTTAATTATGTAATTAGACACTATGTCATGAAAACATATGGAGGACCGGAGGTATAGCTCCACCATTCTTGATATCGAAACTGGATGGAGGTGAGAGGTCGGCTTCACGACCCTGTCGGTTGCCCTCCGAGAATAGAGCCCCAAGTACCTACTAGGTAGGACGATGGGTACGCCCCAGAGACAGTTCGGATGCCATGGAGAAGAGAAAAATCTCTTACTTTCGCCGGGAATCGAACCCCAACTCCTCGGCCATCGAGCCAATGGCCTTGTTGCCATACCGACTGAGCTATTCTGGCTCTGGTAGAAATATTTACAGTAATGGTATCAAACGTTTACCTCCCTGTGGACTAGTGGTCAGAGTTCAGGGGTACAGTTTCAGAGGTCCGTGTTCAATTCCCGGCGCTACCAGATATTCTGAGAAATAGTGGGTGTGGAACGGGGTACACTCAGCCTCTTGAAGACAATTGAGGAGCTATTTCAAGGAAATAGCTGCTCCTGTCTAGAAAACCGAAATTAACGGCCGTGGGGATCTGTTGCGCTGACTACGCGACACCCTATATCCGCTAAAGTTGGCACTAACTTCGCCAACAAGCGGCAGTCGCAAGGTCGGTATACTTCGTTTACGGACTAAAACCACGGAGTTTATTTCTTGTTGTATCAAACGTTTATTGTAAAATAAAAGCTATTGTAACGTGCAAATTTACACTATGTAGGACTTTTCATACACACAGTAGCAATCCAATTTTGGAACACAATTCTCCAAATCTCGAAGCAATATTATACCTGCTGGTATTGAAACTGTTTCTTTTTCTACGCTGTTCAGGTAGGAACGTGCAAGATGGGCCCAGGTTCAGACCCCGATGCTGTGGTAGACCCACGTCTCCGTGTGCATGGGATTCAGCGTCTTCGAGTCATTGACTTGTCCATAGCGCCAATCATCCCCACTTGTCACACAAACGCTTTAGCTATGGCTATCGGTGAGAAAGGGTCCGATCTCATCAAGGAAGACTGGGGTGTCTCATGGAGTAACGAGACAGGTTGCCGCACGAAGCAGACTCGGATGAGAAGCGTGGACCTCTAAGTGTGGGCCACTATTTACAATTTTTACGTACATCAGGGCGTTCTTTACATCACTTAATGGATTCAGGCTAATAAGCTTCAGTATCATGTCTCTGTGTCTTCAGACACGGGTTCGGCAAGAGCCTGCAAGAGAGGACCTTCTTTATCCTCGTGTGTCCGGGATACAGAAGAGGTGGAGGTTGTCAAGTCCGTACTGAGGAATTTCCGCACATAGTTCTTTCGTGGTTCATCGTGCCAATTCAGCTCCATCTTAGCGACTAATAGTTTTTGTCACATGCCTCCCTAGTTTCGTGGTCAGCATATTCGCTTAGGAGGTGTGAGACCGGGGTTCGATTCCCCGCCGGGAGTTTTTTAAAGGCCGCGCCACAGCTTAAGCGGTTAGTCGCTGGCTTCCCACCGCGACGGTCCGGGTTGGATCCCGGGTCTGGTCAAGTGGGATTTGTGGTGGACAAAGTGGCGCTGGGACGGGTTTTCTCCGAGTACTTCAGTTTCCCCTGCCAATCTTCAATCCACCAAATTCTCCATCATCATATTCACCTTGGGCAGGCTACAATATGCCAATCAATGGCCTCCGTGTCGAGTGGACCCAGTTTGACTCCACCCCCTTAAGCGAAATGGATTTTTTTCCCTAATTAAACTATGGCATAGTTAGTGGCGCTAAGCATCCATTTCCTTTCTTAACAATAAGTGATTTTGATAAACTGACGAAGTACTTGGTGGGATTTGACAGTCAACATAACAATACAAATAAACTAATCGAACTGCTCACAGTGGCTTTATTTAATAGTTGCTCATGTTTCGGTCCGCATTTGGAATCATCTTCAGGCAGTCTCATCAAAATATTATTGAACTGTCATAATATGGATCCAGACATGCCACCGCCAAGAATCAAATAAAACCAATATGAGTAGTTCGCTTGGTTTATTTTTATGTTTTTGTTGTGTTGCCGGACAAATACTGTACCATCAATCATAACACAAAACAGGATGCAAACAGTGAAGATAAGGAGATACTATTAAACAGACAATAACAGTCAATGTGATTTAGTACATACAAAATATTGTGACATGTTAACTCATTGCCAGGCAACTGCTGGATGCTCGATAAACACTGCATTAGACGAGCGCAACAATAGAACAGCGGGGTTATGCAACCCGTTTCTAGGCAACGGCTCGGTAAACACACTTCCGCGTAGGCAGTGACGTCACAGACAAATGGACGTAAACAACGTGACGTGTTTTCTGTAGGTCTTCGCCGAAGGTTTGTGAGGGACAGCAAAGGTCGTTTGCGGGCAGTCGTAAGCTTGAGGAGTGAGTAGTAAATGAACTTCAATTCAGAGTTCCAAGGTAACAGTAGTATGGCCAGGAGAAGATTTAGAAGACTTGGTGTGTAACGTCACATGTGGGAGTGCGTAATTTAGTGAGACTTCTATAGTTCCTGTGTTGAGATCCGTTGCCAGGAGACCACTAGTGAAGACGGATAATCCTAATGCGTTTGTAAAGGTGAACTGTAAATTTTGTAAATACAGCGATAGCGTTCTATTAATTGTAATTAAAGGATATTGTAACCGAAGTGCCAATAGATCCAATTATCCGGTCTATAACCCGTTATTTTCGTCATGCGTACCCCATACACTTGACAGTATTCGTTGATGATTTAAATATTGCGTCATATGATTAGTTAAAAGAGTAATAAGGAAAGGAAAGTAAATATGATCTTTACTTCTGGTGAACTGTGATAGGACACAGTAAAAGAAAAATGTAGGGTTGGAGCGAAATAACGGTCAGATGAAGCCAGGTGTAGCGAGGGAGATAAGCAGATACTGAACAAATATTTCTGGAGCATTTTTGGCATATAGTAATAAAGCGCGTGCGGTACCGTCGCATTTCTGAAGACAAAAGGAATCATCTCTTCACGGTCCGGAGTTCAACGAACATCTAATCACCTGTCACTCATCTGGCGTATTATATTACGTACTAAGCAATATTTCCGTGCATTCCACAATTACGTTTCCTCTCTACTTAAAAAATTAATGTTTCAAGTATACTGTACTTATTTCGACTTTATCGTGTATAGTGTCTTTATGTATGCATTTCAAGGTCACCTCTGATGCCTTGCAACTTCCCTTACCATATTTTTTATTTTCCTTGGCACTACAGCCCCAGTGGGCCTAGGCCTACCTCCATGAACTTCTCTGTTCACTTCGGTTTTTCTAGATCTTACACATACGATAGGACTCCTTGGGCGGGTGATCAGCTCGTCGCAAGGCCTCTACCTGTACACAAACACAGAAAAACGCACACAAACATCCATGTCCTGAGTGGGATTCGAACCCACGATCCCGGCTTCCGAGCGAACGAAGACAATGCATGCCTTAGACCGCTCGGCTACCGTGACCGACTCCCTTACTATATGAGGATTATTTCTTTTATTGCTAGTGGGGTGGAACTAAGTCCCTTGTACTGAGGCCACTTCTGGCCTATTGTACTAGGCCCAAATGATAGGTGAGGGTGATTGTGGAGCAATTGGTGGAATGAAGATTGGCAGGGGAAACCGAAGTTCTCGGAGGAAACCTGCCCCAGTGCCACTTTGTCCACCACAAATCTCACTTGACCAGACCCGGGATCGAACCCGGGACGCCGCGGTGTTAAACCAGCGACTAATCGCTTGAGCTATGGGACGGCCTAATATGCGGGTTAAGTCAGGGGAGTAACCACAGCGGTTGTCGCAGTTTACACACTTTAAATCCTCAAGGTGACAATCTTAATTTCAATGACACCTACCTCCGACCAATAATCTTATTTGCATTCTACTGGTTGAAATGAACTACACGAGAGACGGACAGACATGATACAAGCTTAGCGATGGGACAGGTTCTTCATCTGATGAGAGGTCCCAACTTCTGCCACAAGAATAAATGAGGTTTTGAAGAGTACAATACTCTTCGTGTAGTCTGGTAGAAGTTTACAAACGTTTCGGTGGAACGTATTTCTCCATCTTCATAGTCGAAGGTAAGTCAAGCAAGTAGCAAACAGAATCTGTTTATGTAAGATTTGAGGCTTTCACGGCGGTGACTATGAAGAAAGCAGTCTTCTGGGATTTGGCACCGTGTATAAGTGGTGTTAACCGACGTTTCGGAGGAACGTATCGCCTCCATCTTCAGGGTAGAAGAAAATATAAGAATTCTGCAAGCGAAGAGTCTGCTTTTACCGGTTCTCACGGTCTCTTCGCTTGCAGAATTCTTATATTTTCTTCTACCCTGAAGATGGAGGCGATACGTTCCTCCGAAACGTCGGTTAACACCACTTATACACGGTGCCAAATCCCAGAAGACTGCTTTCTTCAGAATCTGTTTAACTTACTCCTCTGCCATAATGATGAAGACATTACTTTCCTCCAAAGCATCTATGAACATTTAGTAGACTACACAATATATTATCCAAGAGGACAGTATTGTTTATCGTCACTGAAGTGAGAAAATAAAATCTCACATTGAGATTTCATCTGCGTAATTATTCACGGGTTCTTTCTCGGGATTAAAGCGGCCGGATCATCATCAGTCAGCATCAAAGTACGGAGTAAACAAGTGAGTGTGTGTGTGAACGCTTAGTTCCTTGCCATCTGCACCTCTTCAAAGCGTGGTGTCAAAATTAACAGTCAGCGTTACTCTGACTGAGTCAGATTTCAGTTCAGTGTAGTGCAGTGCAGCTTAACCGAGAGAAAAGAGAGTGCAGTATTGTGACCATTTGTGTTATGAAATAAGGAGTGGACATAGAAATGATTTCAAAAGTATAAATGGTTACAGTAACTATTCCATAAGTTGATAATTTTTACACTATATATACACCCGACTGCCCCTGTGATCTAGCCGTCAGAGTTCCTGGCTACAGATCTAGAGGTCTGGGTTCGATTCCCGGCGCTACCAGATTTTCTGAGGAGTAGTGGGTCTGGAACGGGGTCCACACAACCTCGTGAGGCTAACCGAGGAGCTATTTCAAGAAAATAACGGCTCCGGTCTAGAAAATTGAAATTAACGGCTGTGGAGATTTGTTGCGCTGACCACACGACACCCTCTATCCGCTAGGGTTTTCACAAACTTCGCCGACAAGCGGCGGTTGCTCGGTCGGTATAGTTCGCTTGCGGACTAAAACCATGGAGTCTGTTTGTTTTTATATACACCCGGTCAAACTCCAACAATAATTTAGAATCACTCTGCAGACCAATTATGTGGCTACAAGGCTGGGGTTTCCGGAAGGACTTTTGACTATTGTAGTAGTAGCAAAGACAATACCGAGCTCCAGACTTGTACGTAATTCTCATATTCTCGGTTCTACTCTCTGTCTACAACCGCTTATCCTGCCTGAGGCTTGTCGTAGTTTACCAAGCATTCTAGGCATATGCCGGAACCGTACCTCGATTAGTTCACGAATTCGTCCTTCAAAATTCTTGTCAGTTCATTATTCACCCGTCAACGTAATATTCGATGTGATGTAGTCGGAGATACTGGCAGCGTTTTAGAAATAAAAGCTAAAGGAAAATCCAAACTGAAAGAAAGCGATTTCCGTAATAAACGGGCAGAATTTAGTATCACTTCGGGACAGAAAATTTAGTAAGCACGCAAATGAGAAGAAAGACTGACTTTGTTGAGAGCGAATCGGAAACTTCTACTAATTTAAACGAAAGAATTCTTGAAGAAAGCAGTCTTTTGGGATGTGGTACCGTGTAGATGTGGTGTTAACCGACGTTTCGGAGGAGCGTATCGCCTCCATCTTCAGGGTAGAAGGAAAAATAAGAAATCCGCAAGCGAAAAGACCTTGAGAACCGGTACAAGCAGACTACTTCTTTAAGACTTCTTTAAATATCCTATGAAACACCTGAGTATGAGGTACATTCCATCAGTAGTACGTAGCAGCCATGTTTATTAACTTAAGCGAGTATGGCCTTGTGAAATTCACGTTATTTTTCACATTGAATTAATTAAATCGACAAATTAAATGCCATATAATTATGTAATTTATTACGGTTAATTTTGAGTGCATATTTATTATCATGTAGAACTACTTACATTCAATTTGTGGCCATAATACTTAAGAAATTACCGTATTTACGCATGTATAGGCCGCAGCACAATTTTCAGACAGAAATTATAGAAAAAAATAAATTTTTTGGAATATTATTTCAGGAGTAGAAATTATTCCGAAATTTGGCAACGTTTAATTTTTTTTAAATGAAGTGTGATTTCGAATATTTCAAATATAAGCCGCACCCCAGTTTTCCTCTTGAATTTTTGGCAAAAAATGTGCGGCCTATACATGCGTAAATACGGTAAATGGATGAGAACTGCCGCTGGGACGTTACCGCCTTCAGGACATAAGAAGATATATCACATTTGCTTGTTACTTCTTTTACGGTTAAGTAGATTGTAAATTGGCAAAAAAATAATAATAAAAAAATATTAAATCTACCGAACTACGTCATGTTTAAATCGACTTTCAATAACAATGATCGATTATCGTTGTGTTCGTTTCTTACCAGAAGTGACTCTCTTGCTCTCTTGCGCTCTCTTCTCATTCTAGTTTGTTCTAGTTCCTCGGCAGACAGAATAAGACACGCTGTGGGAGTGTACCGCTCAGCAAGCCTGATATTTCAGAACAAAGTGAGTAAATATAATAAGCCTATTGAAATATGGACTGGGGACAAATTTTTAAACCAAACTGAGGGTGAAGCAGCAATCAGTACACACAGAACTGCTTTGAAGTGGGCAACATGACGTGTCTAGTTCATTATTTGTGTGCAATGGTTTAATGCAACCCTATGATTGTGCTGCTGAAATTACTGGTAATGAAGCGGGATATAAATTGGAACAAAATCAGGGGCAGAAGTGAATTTACTCCGATAATTAATGGAAACAAATAAAGGGAAGTTAATGACCCAGGAAAGTTAACTTATAGCTGGGTCGAAAGGGGGATGTTAAGATTTGGAAAGCGCAAACAAAAGCGTGTATTCGGCAGTATAGCTACGATCCGAAAGTAATTGTCAGATTTCAGTATGATGTTCATCACTCAGGTCAAAATGCGTATCTGATGTACATGCATGTGTACAACAGCCACATTTGAATATGGTGCAAGTGAACACACACGGACTTGTGTATCTTTGAATTATATTATTATTTACTGAACAGAACATACTAAATACCAAATACCTTGAAGAAGAATGCAACTGGTTCTCCGAAATATTGGTAAACACCTAAGAAATTTAATTCTGGTACAACCCAGAAGCCCACAATTTAAATATGTTCTTATCTAAAGCCCTCAGGTCTCTTATATAATTTAGTGTGTTTCTGATTTTTTCTGAGCCATATTCACTTCATTTTATCTATAATTTCTTTATAAGTTGTAATTCTCATTAAAAGGCTGGAAAACGCATGTGTAGAAACATATTATCTATTCTCTCCCAAGAAATCAACGTTTTCGATCCATTTTTACCCTACTGCTATTTGTATTAACCCACACAAGCACTGTTTTAATTTTTAAAAAATATTCCCACCTCATGTTTTTTTTTTCTGTATGTTTCTCAGAATTACGAGCTATCACTTCCTTAAATAACATTAACAGAATGGTCTTTGTAATAGATATGCCGTGTGTTTTCTTTGAAGTAAGAACTTACTTGCTTACTTACTCATGGAGCTGAGCCCTTCTGGAGGAGCCGCCAATTCTGCAGCTACTCAAGAATTTCCCAGCTTTTTATGGTATCCGAAGGTTCATTACCGTGTTCACAAGAGCCCTCCACTGGTCCATATCCTGAGCCAGATCTACCCATCTATCCACACCATCCCATCCTATCTCTCTAAGATCCATTCTAATACTGTCCACCCACCTACGCCTTGGTCTTCCCTGTGGTCTCTTTCCTTATGGCTTTCCCACCAATATCCTGTACGCATTCCTCGTCTCCCCCATTCGTGCTACATGACCTGCCCACCTCATCCTCATTGACTTGATCATTCTAATTATACTTGGAGAAGCTCATTATGCAGTTCACTCCAACCTCCTGTCACTTCATCCCTCTTCGGTCCAAATATTCTCCTCAACACCCTGTTCTCAAACACCATCAGTCTAAGCACAACATTTTTAAATATTTAATATTTGATGGATTTAATGATTCAAGGGGGTTAGTATCCTTTACGTATCACAAAACAAAACAATTATATTAGTTATGTTCAAATTGATAGCCTTGAAGAGAAGAGAGTGTTGAAATTGTGCTGGCTTTTTATTAAAAACTTTCGTTCTGCCGCCTGCATATCTCTCCCTTACTTTAAATGGGCAATATTAGACATAAATACTTATCTCTTGCAATTATTTGTGATATCGATCTTATCTTATACGCAACATATTAACGACAATTATCTTATCTTCTTTGTTTTTTTCCTTGGCACTGCAGCCCCAGTGGGCCTAGCCCTACCTCCATGAACTTCTCCGTTCACTTCGGTTTTTCTAGATCTTACACATTCAGTAGGACTCCTTGGGCGGGTGATCAGCTCGTCGCAAGGCCTCTACCCGTACACAAACACAGAAAAACGCACACACACAAACTAAACATCCATACCCTGAGTTGGATTCGAACCCACGATCCCGGTTTCCAAGCGAGCGAAGACAGTATATGCCTTAGACCGCTCGGCTACCGTGACCGGCCTTATCTCCTTTAGTGAACATAATTTCCTCATACATTCTAATTCTGGTAGGCCCTGTTGAGTTTCATCCAGTCATTGTGCGTACAAACAAGAAATGAATGCCAGGCAAGTTAACTCGGATGGTAACGATTGATCTTGGGTGTCCGATTCTAATCCCTACTATCCTGACTGAGGTACTTTTTTATTTTACTCAGTTCCTCCGGGCAAATTTCTAGATATTACCTCTAATGAGACCACCGTCTGCCTATGGCTCTACAACCCTATGTTGTGTCTTGGCTCTTTTCAGTGTCTTAATCCTGTACACAGTCGGTATGACTCCTTTGAAGGGGGGTCAGCCAGTCGCAAGGCCTCTACCTGCACACAGAGCAACACAAACACAGAATAAGCCGACACAGTTATCTATGCCTTGAGTGGGATTCGAACCTAGCGTTTGAGCGAGTGAAGACAGTTCATGCCTTTGATAACGAGGCCACTGTGATCGGCAGTGAGGTCATAGACTTTCAAATTTATTATTTACTAACCACCTTACCATTTGACGCTATATAGACCTAATTCGAGGCTCAACGTTTTTAAATATACTACAAATAAAATTTACAAACAAGAAATGAACAGGCCGCTCGTTACGGACCTTATACTGTAGGCATAATTCGTGCAGTGGCTCTGAGATATTTCAGTGGTTCTAGACGCAGCCATTCCCCGTAATGTCACAGTAAAATATACAAACATTGTCTCCAGTGATTTACGTAATGTCACGATATGAATTACGAAGTAGAGAAGTGAGCTCTCTTTCTGCGGGATACCATGGCAAGGACAACGGATATTATGGTGAATCTCCTTGGAAGGGGCGAAACCCACAGACCACATTCCAAACAGATGAGTAAATGTATACAGAATCAGGAACTGTGTGTACAAATCTGACGTTCTGAAGCACCCAGTGCCGGCTAATTCTCACCGCCCCGCAATGTAGATATTCCTGTATGGGTTGTGAGGAAGTTTCCGTTCAGAGCGTGTGCGTGCGTCGAAGTTCTCTCTCCGGAATAGGATCGAACGCTGGGTTTAGCGTGAAGTACCCTTTGTTTCATACCAGCACACCACGGGATCTGATCTCGTTTCTAAGACTGACCACTCTAAATTAAGATTCACGCAGTTCTCAGTCGCATCTCCAGACGAATCCCGGACTAGTACGTATCTTATATCAGAGCACTTTACATCCATTCAGTATTATTCACAGTTACCCTGTCAGTCAACGTTACATAGGTCTAACTTTTCAGTCGACAGAAAATAATTGGATATAGCAAGAATTAATCCAAAGTACTGCTTTATACTGTGATTCCTGTGTCAATCATCTGATTAAACAGAAGTAAACAAGTAATGTCCCTGTAGCAGGCCGTGGAGGCCCACATATTTGTGAGACATTGAGGATCCCACATTTTCTAGATAATCGGCTCACAGATGGAAGGGTAAGTTTATCAGCCCTACGCGCCGGCTGCCCTATTCCCCCAGAAAGATTCCTGGCACTCATTTCTGTTAGAGGCTGAGTCGACCCGAGGCCTGGAAGGATTAAATACATTGAAGAAAATCCAATGAACTAATCGGGAATCGAACTCGCGATCTTGTAGCATATTGCCTTGCCTAACTACGCTACCGCATGCCCCTTTATTAAGTGACTAAGTCACTGCGGCCACTTCTGGCCTATTGTACCAGCCCCGGATGATAGGTGAGGGTGACTGTGGAGCAATTGGTGGAATGAAGTTTGGCAGGGGAAACCGAAGTACTCGGAGAAAACCTGCCCCAGGGCCACTTTATCCACCACAAATTCCACTTGACCAGACCCGGGATCGAACCCGGGCCTCCGCGGTGGGAAGCCAGCGACTAACCGCTTCAGCTATGGCGCGGCCACATGCCCCTTTAAGTAAACATGTTTATGTATACACAAATTAACTAACGGAACTGTGTAGTTTCCACTACTGAACCCTGTCCTCACCACAACTTTACTGCAGTGCAATTGTCAAGGCGTTCTCGGTCTGCTGTTAAACTTATAGGCTGACTCTGAGTTTATATGACTTTATAGAAATTCAGAAAGTCTATAAATGTATTCCAAATACAGTCTGATATTTGGTGATTAATGTCTAGGTTTTCTTCACAGGTTTCCTCCGAACAGCAATGCAAGATCCGGATAAAGAGGACGCGGCCTCAGTCGTCAATGCAGCAGAACTGCAGGAAGAGCATGAAATCCCAGAGGCGGCTGTAGTTCCGCAGATGCCTCCAATTCCTGAGCTACCTCCAATTCCTGAGCTACCTCCAATTCCTGAGCTACCTCCAATTCCTGAGCTACCTCCAATTCCTGAGCTACCTCCAATTCCTGAGCTACCTCCAATTCCTGAGCTACCTCCAATTCCTGAGCTACCTCCAATTCCTGAGCTACCTCCAATTCCTGAGCTACCTCCAATTCCTGAGCTACCTCCAATTCCTGAGCTACCTCCAATTCCTGAGCTACCTCCAATTCCTGAGCTACCTCCAATTCCTGAGCTACCTCCAATTCCTGAGCTACCTCCAATTCCTGAGCTACCTCCAATTCCTGAGCTACCTCCAATTCCTGAGCTACCTCCAATTCCTGAGCTACCTCCAATTCCTGAGCTACCTCCAATTCCTGAGCTACCTCCAATTCCTGAGCTACCTCCAATTCCTGAGCTACCTCCAATTCCTGAGCTACCTCCAATTCCTGAGCTACCTCCAATTCCTGAGCTACCTCCAATTCCTGAGCTACCTCCAATTCCTGAGCTACCTCCAATTCCTGAGCTACCTCCAATTCCTGAGCTACCTCCAATTCCTGAGCTACCTCCAATTCCTGAGCTACCTCCAATTCCTGAGCTACCTCCACTCCCACTCTCTCCACTCATGTTGTTACCTATACTTCCGACTGTGCCCGAAATCCCAGGGCCATCACAATTATCTGGGGTTTCTCCAGCGCCTTGGAGGCATGAATTTGTAAAGCCCACTGGAGATGCTGAGCGTCAATTTCTGCCTAAAAGACGAATCCTAGGAAAGCCCGAAGGAGAGAGAACTCCACAATGTTCTCAACCGCCAAAAAAATCCATGCCACAAACCCGAAAGGAGGAAACATTCGACGTTCTGAAAAGATGGATTAGTACCCAGCTGGAATGTCTGTTGTGTGTTGAGATCATGACGCCGCCGATTGTGGTCTGTTCGAATGGCCACATGATATGTAACAATTGCAAACCGAAGCTGGACAAATGCCACTTCTGCAGGTAGAGTAAATCCTTGCCAGTCCGGTTACAGTTAATCCGAAGAGAAAGATTAAAAAATGTTGTACACAGTTGAGTACATACTTTAAAATCACATCGCATATATGAAAACAGATGATGCATTTGTCTGGTCAGGCAAAACTTCACAGAATATTCCAACCCACATTATTACGTTCAAAAGTAGAATTTCTGAGTCTTGTATCGCTGAATAAATAAATTGTCTTTTTTATAATTTAGGCTCAACAGTGATGTTTTGTTATTTATATTCATCAGCAATACTCATATCATTAAAAATTCCATTTATTTGTGTTTGAAAATTTTTTGGGGTGGGGGGCTACCTTTTGCTTTACTAATCCGGACTATTGCTTAATCAGTATGATCTCTCTCCTCAATTACTCCTGATTAGCGAGGATTTACTGTACTGTTATTCTCTCTTCCGAATAAACTGAATAACGCGACAGTTTATTCTGGGATAATTAATGGAAGAAGCACTCAAATTGTACGTTGCACAAATTGTGATATCCTTACAAATTTGAAGGCATAACCTAGTGAAGGGCCATGCTGCTTCCACATTTAGACATGCAATTTCAATCCTGAAAATACAATCAATATTTTTCTTTTAAATTTTGGTATCCCCTATATGACTGGACTGAGCTATAAGACAAAACACCACAAACTTAACAATTGTCGCCATGAAGGCCTCAGCACTTAAATTACTGGCTTCCTAAATAGTAAAACATTTGAGATGATATAACGACGTTGCATTTACTTTCATGTCCTTTTCTCTTCCTGCAGCGTGCAGTCAAATTCTATTGCAAAAACTAGCAACAAAATGACTGGAACTTGCAATCATGTTATAATGTTGCTCAGCAAAACATATGGGTATGAATGTTAGAGAGGGGAAACTTAGGTAGGACAGTTCACTGCGTTGTTTGGCAGGCCATTAGCATTACTATTACACAGTAATTATAAGATTACAAAGGGCACGGCATGTAACTGACATAGGGAACGAAGAATGAATTCAAAAATTTAGTGGCGAAACCTCCCGGAAAAAAAGAAAACTGGAAACTCGATAAATGTATGATGAGAAGATAACCGATTTTAGAGGCATGGGCCATGAGGGTGGGGATTGCATGGAACTGATCCTGAATCGTGTTTATGATGGATTTGTTATTAACAACGTTGAGTATTAGTTTGTATGGGCGTTATAATTCAGTTTAGTTCATATTTATTTATATACTGTTAATTTAACAGCACAAATTGGGCACAAATGTGAAAATAAATAAAATAAATGTAAGTAGTTACTATAGGATTCTGACGATGGTGTATAACACACTGATATATTGGGTTTTTGGACTTTATCCATCGTCCCGGTTTTTAAGATAACTAATAAAAACACGACGTTTCGGAAACTGGATCTGTTTCCGTCCTCAGGTGAAGGAAAACACCTATTCTGTTGGGTCCGTTAGAAAGAGCTAGCCTCAATCACTGGACCAATTATTGTGATTGAGGCTAGCTCTTTCTAACGGACCCAACTGAATAGGTGTTTTTCTTCACCTGAGGACGGAAACAGATCCAGTTTCCGAAACGTCGTGTTTTTATTAGTTATCTTAAAAACCAGGACGATGGATAAAGTCCAAAAACCCAATATATCAGTGTGAAAATAAGTGTACCTTCAACCGAATAGTTCTGTGCTCAAGCTACTGAATGTCTATACTTTTTACAGGGCCATCATAACAAGTCGGAAGAATATATTTGCAGAGGAAATTTCCAAACTCCTGAAGGTCCGGTGCAGTTACGCACATGAGGGCTGTCAGGTCCAGGAAAGCCCCGACAAGATAGAAGAGCATGAAGTCGCTTGTTTCTACCAGCCAGTGGAATGTCTTGCAGGCAGTGGAGCTCAATGCGTGGTGAAATGCGGGTGGAGGGGGCGCAAGTGTGAGTTACTGGGACACGTCGCTTATCAACATAGTATGACAATGATCCATCCAGACCTGCCTATACGGTTTATTTCTCCCTATATATATGAACAAGACTATACGAATATTTCATTAATATGTGCACATTCAGAATGTTTCTGGTTAACTTTAAAATACGACATGAAGAAAAACAGACGCTTCGAAGGTGTCCATTTTATCGGACATGCCAAGAAAGCAAAGGAATTTCGGTACAGATGCGATCTCTTGTCTTGTGATGGGAAAACAGGCACAACATTCTTCAGTACAACGGGAAGCATTTTCCACGAAACAGATGACGTTTTTGATACTACCCATCATTTTCAAATGGACCTTGATGTGTTTAAGCAACTCTATGTAGACAAGGACGGAAAGGTGCCTGGATACAAGTTAATTATTGAAAAAGTACGCCACTCTGAATGATAGAATTTGTTTTCGCTTGGTAAAACTTCGGTATCATTGAAATATTTTTGGCATAGCAACAAACACAAAATGTGTACTAAATGGAGACAGCCTTCTCTCCCAAGACGGACAAGTTCTGTTTTTATGAAATATTATTAAAACGGGACATAACTGAAGTCTCAGCGAAAATAAGTACAATTATTTGTAGCAAGTTTATTTACATTTACTGAATGTTCGTATTCAATGATATTTTTAAGTGACTGTTCTATAGTTTTAAATGAATTGAAGGAAGTACTGATGACCTTATTAAATATATACAAGTATAAATGTGTACGTATTCATTATCAACTTCAGTATATTGAAGCAAACCAGAACTTGTGCGTGTATTAAGAGTTTCCCCACCACAATAGGATAGGCATTTCTTTCAGATATTTTCCTTTCTATATAAATACCATTTCATTCTCTTTATACGCACTGTACGTAAGAATAAGCTATAATTTCGTGACTCTGGCAAACTGTACGCCAAGAATAATTATACATGTAGATATTTGTTCAAAAAACATAAAAATTAGAAAATAAAAAATTATAAGTTTTCCCATGGTTCTCTATAGATGTGAAATTGGTCTCTGACATTAAGGGAGGAACATAGACTGAGGGTGTTGAGGTAAATATTTGACCGAAGAGAAATGAAGTGACAGAAGGTTGGAGAAAATTGCATAATGAGGAACTTCATAACTTCTCCATAACTTCAAGTATAATTGGAATGATCAAGTCAAGGAGGATGAGATGGGCAGAGCATGTAGCACGAATGCGAAGAAAAGAGTAATGCATAGAGGATATTGGTGGGAAAGGCAGAAGGAAAGAGATCACTGGGAAGACCAAAGCGTAAGTAGGTGGACAATATTAAAATGGATCTTAGAGAGATAGGATGGTATGGATTGGATTCATCTGGCTCAGAATAGGGACCATTGGATGGCTCTTGTGAACACGGCAATGAACTTTCGGGTTCCATAAAATGCTGGGAAATTATTGAGTAGCTGCAGATTTGGCGGCTTCTCAAGAAGGGCTCAGCTCCATAAGTAAGATATTATGGTACGGATGACTATGTTTCCTTTTAGTGTATTTAATTTACCCTCAAACTCTACTGGACACATAAATGTAGATATTTCCCTATGATTAGTTAAGCATCATGCCAAGCAGACATATGGAGGAGTGGAGTTATAATTCCAATATTCTTGTCTTCGGTACTAGATGGTGTGTAGTTAGATTCACGCTCCGGCCGCTTTACCCCTGAAAAAGTGACCCAATAACAATTGCATTAATGATTGGCCGGGCTGGGGGGCGGGGGTCTCAGGACCGGTATGAGCGCTGTAGAGAAGTCCCTTCTTGTCCCTCCCTGGAATCAAAGCCCGGCCGTCCATCCCCTAGAACAGGCATGTCCAACGCGTCAATTGCGGGACGATTTTTGGTCGATCTCATAGGCCTATAAGGAAATTATACGTGAAAAGCATGTAAATTCACTTGTAATATAATATGATTATATTCAGATTTTGAAGGGAAAATACGTATTAAAGTAGTCTGTACTTTCAATGTATGTTGCTTTTACAACAAACATCATGTGTCGTGTTATTTTTACCAGTATTTTTGCTTAAAGGGAGGTACGACGATAGGAGGGGGTGGTAGATCACTGGCAGTTTTGACACTAAAAAGTCGATCACAGTCTGTTTGAAGTTGGACATGCCTGCCCTAGAACAACTTACCTAATCGAAGGGAGCAGTTACATTTCTTACGAAATCAGACAAATAATACGCTGGCAGAGGAACAAAGTTGGAAAGGTGTAATGTCTAGTGAAATAGAATTTACACATGCATTCTCGTACAAAGACGGTCACATATACTTGTACCGTGTGGGCGCTACAGTAAAGTAAGTAAAGGTATTCCTGTAACATGCCTTGGAGGCCCATAGGGTTGTGAGATGTTGAGGTTCCCACATTTTCTAGACAGTCGCCTCATAGATGACGGCAAGGTTGTCAGCCCTACGCGTCGGCCGCCCTTTACCCCCAAGAACATTCCTGGTACTCATTTCTGTTAGAGGCTGAGTCGACCCAAGGGCCATAGTGCGGCTGGAAGGATTAGGTAAATTGAAAATATTCAATGACCTCGTCGGGATTTGATCCCGCGAATTTCCGGCTTGTAGCATAGTCCTTCAACCAACTACACACCGCGCGCCACAGTCCAAGATGAATTTTGGTCTCTGTCTTAATCATTCATACGTGCAGTCTGCAGGACTCCTTGGGTGGGGATACGCACACTGCAAGGTCGCTACCTACAAGGACAGTACAACCATTGAATAAATGCCAATATCCATGCCTCGAGTGGGATTCTAACATAAGACCGCACCGCTTGAGCGGGCGAAAGCAGTTCATGCCCTAAGACCACACGGCAACTGTGATCTACTTTGATCTAACTCACTCACGGAGCTGAGTCCAACATGAGAAACCGACAGTTGTGCAGCTATTGAAGAACTGCCCAGCATTTTATGGAACCCGAAGGTTTATTAGCATGTTCACAAAAGTCCTCCACTGATCCCTATCCTGAGCCAGATCAATCCAATCCATATCATCCCATTCTAAGATCCATTTTAATATTCACCCACCTATGTCAAGGTTCTACTGGTGGTCTCTTTCCTTCTGGTTTTCCGACAAACTCCTACAGGTATTCCTTTTTGCTTACATTCGTGTCATATGCCCTGCCCACCTCATCCTCCTTGACTTGATCATTCTAATTATGGTTGGAGAAGAATACAAGTTATGAAGCTCCTCATTATGCAGTTTTCTCCAACCTTCTGTCACTTCATCTCTCTTCGATCCAAATATTCTCAACACCCTGTTCTCAAACACCCTCAGTCTATGTTCCTCCCTCAATGTCAGACACCAAGTTTTACACCCATACAAAACCACAGGCAAAATTATAGCTCTGTATATTCTAATTTTTATGTTTCTGGACAGCAGATGAGAAGACAAAATGTTCTGGACTGAATGGTAGCAAGCATTACCTGAATTCAATCCCTTCTTTATTTCCTCCTGAATCAGGTTTTGATTTGTTGTCGTTCCCAAATATCTGAACTGTGCCACATTTTCAAAACATCTGTTTCGTATCTTTATGTCATGATTTTGCCCTGGATTTTGGTGACGAGACAGCAACACATACTTAGTTTTCTCTGTGTTTACTTCTAGACTAACCTCTTTGCTTGCATCAATTAAAGTTTGTGTGTTTCTCTTTATGGTATCTACATTATCACCCAGTAGATTCATATCATCGGCGTAGACGAACAGCTGATGTGTCCCATTCAATTTCTGTCGCACCTGGTTTCCTGGACCTTCCTAATTGCATATTCTAAAGCAAAGTTGAAAAGGAGTGTTGATAAAACATCTCTTTGTTTTAGACCATTCTGGATAGGGAAATTATCAGACAAATGTTTGCCTACACGGACTTTGCTATACGTTTCGTTTAAACACATTTTAATCAGTCTGACTAGTCTCATGGGTACTCCAAACTCTATCAGAATATTATACAATACTTCCCTCCTAACTGAATCGTAGGCTTTCTTGAAGTCTATGAATAGCTGATGTACTGTCTCATTGTCCTCTCATGTTTTCTCCAGCATCTGACGAATTAAAGAAATCTGAACAGTAGTTGATCTGTTACGTCGAAACCCACACTGATGATCCCCAATAATTTCATTTATGTATTGACTTAACCTAGCAAGAATATTGTATAAAATTGTATGAAGTTGATAGCAGTGATATCCCCGATAATTACTACAAATTTATCAGTCTTCTTGTGAACTGGTACAATAATAGACTGCTTCCACTGATCTGGCAATTCATACTTATTCCAAATAGAATTAGCTTATGGATCTTGGAATTTAATATTTCACCGTCTGCTTGAATAAGTTCTGCTAGAATTTGATCACTACCTGGCAATTTCAACCTCAAAAGGACTTGGATCAGGTACTAACGGCTCAGCTGTGTGGATTTCTATCTGCTAACATTACTGACCCTATGTACATTCAATAACTGAGAGAAGTAGTCCTTCAACCTATTCAAGATGTCGTGGGAATCTGCAAACAGATCACCATTCTCATCCTTCACTAAGTTACTTCTAGGTTGGTAACCCCACTTAAAGTCATTTATTACTCTGTACAAAACTCTAATATTCTTGCTGTACCACTATGAAAGATGACTAAGGGAAAATTTGGGTTCCAATACGTCAGCGTCTCTAGAAATAACATAGGAGCTGACGCCTCTAACAGAAGTAATTTTTACTTAAAGAACAGAAATTGAAGGCAGAACTATCTGTCATATATTTACCTGGCAGGAACTATAAGACCAACAATTTTCAAAACAGATGAAGAAAATTTAGAACCAAAACAAACTTCAATAAAAAGCAGGTCACCAAAATGTTACGTCCTCTCGCGTAACGTATGCAGTTTTGATCACACGCATATAGTAATGGGCATGAGGGAAGAAATTATTCATACAAGAGGCTACAAACTTCTGCTAGTTGCGTGTCGGCTTGTTGGCATCAGCAAACGTAAGAAACAGGTGTATTAAAGCCTAGATCTAACTAGGGTAAAATAGGCAGTCGGGGGAATAGAAGGGGTTATCCCCTAACTAGGAGCAGCAGTTAACATGGTTATGGGAATGAACTACAGAATCCAGAAGCATTTTCTTTTCATTAACGGTCCCTACGCGTCACAAATTTGACAAAGCTAGTTATCGTAAATCAGTACCGTCAGTTTTCTCGAGTCTCACTGAAGATCATTTCGAAACGCTATGAAATAATCCAAGAACACAGACCTGAAATTGTCAGTTATGTAACTTCGAAACAGTTTACATAACTACCGCGAAACTTAAAATACATAAAAAATGTACACAGCTGTAGAAATGGGATTGAGTAATATGGATTAGATTCATCTGGCCCAGGATAGGGACCAGTAAAGGACTCGATAAAATGTTGGCGAAATTCTTGAGTAGCTCGACGACTGGCGGCTTGACAAGGACTCACATCCACGGAGTTACCCGTAGTCAGTACAGAGCTGCAGGGCACTAAGATTGATTTTTGCAGGCTTACGACACACGGCCTGTTAACTATAAATTATGAATAGTGGAAGAAAGTGAAGGTGAAGCTGAAGCTGACCCTGTCACAGGCTGTGAAGGCCCATAGGGTTGTGAGACGTTGAGGGTCCCACATTTTCCAGACAATGGCTCACAGATGGCGGTGAGGTTGTCAGACTTACGTGCTAGTCGCCCTTTATCCCCCAGGAAGATTCTTGGTACTCATTTCTGTAGGAGACAGAGTCGACCCCAGGGCCATAGTGGGGTTGAAAGGATTAGGCCAATTGAAAAGTCCAATGACATCAGGATTTTAACACTCAACTTTCCGGCTTGTGGCGTAGTGCAGCAACCAACTACGCATCTCCGTGCCCCGATGGACAGTGGAGGGCTTCTTAAATCAACAAAATGCCTTTCTTTCCATAACTTTCTTTATTTATGGTCTTTCAATTTTATGTCTGAGAAGGTTACTAATAAAAACTTCTGCCTTACGATCTTCAAACACATTTATGGCTATTATCTGCAATAATAAAATCTTAAGATGTACAATTAGATACTATGCAATTCAATTTTAGAAATATTATTATCTTCAGTAAAATACATAAAAGTAATCAAATCTATTAGAAGTTATTAGCAGATAAGTTTATATTAACGAATATAAACATTTATCTTCTTCATCAAATGGTTTATCATTGTGCTCTAGTGTCATAGTGCAACAGTATGTCCACCATCTATAGGTCACTGAAGCCGTATGATGCAAAATTAAAAAACATAAAACCTTTAAAAATATTAATATCTTTAGTATACGAGTATGAAGTTAAAATTGATAAAGAAATCGACGAATCAGTTGTACTTTTAGCGCACAGAAGCAATCCTCTTTTGTCAGAAATTGTATCGCGTTGTCTATAACTTTTATATTGACGAGGAAGATGCAAGATATAACCAATGGCCTGTTTCTGTCAAGTAATTTGTTCAGATTTTTCATTTTGTATCACAAACTAATTTCAGTGTAGTATCTAATCTCTTGTAGATGTTAATTGATTTTTTTTACAGAGATGGATCGGGTTCCTTTTGTGAAAATAAAAGCAGAAAATACATTTAATCTTTGGAAAGACATGATTAATATATGCTTTTAAAATTAAGAAAAAATTCAGAACCTTTACTACAGCCGAAAGAAACTCTCAGTAAGTGTAATAATTCTAATGCGCTAAGAGTGTAGTTAGTTATAGGCCTGCAATATTTTCTTGATTGTGAGTTTGTACCCAGGCACACGTTTTTTAGAATTTAGAAATAATTCCTTAAAGAAATTAAGATCTATATTAAAACAGGATTTAGAAGCAAAAACTGCATCGAAGTCTTCGAAACAGTTCTTTGTAACGTTAAGGAAGGAAAAAATCATGTTTCCGTCGAGAGATTTAAGTTCATGTTGGTACTGAAATTGTGTTGCTTTCCTCTTCGATCCAATATACTGGACAACTTCCATGCGTGTGTTTTTAACTATATCTTGTTTTACGGTCATCCAGAATAGTTCTCCCTTCGCACACCATAAAGTGACATTGACGAAATTTCTGCCAAACTCTCGACACTCAATGTCTTCGATCGTCTGGCCCATGTAGACCGAAGACTTCCCGTGCACAGAAACAACATGTTCCAACAACTCTGTCTTCTTCCCTCGCCAGCCACACTTCACCCCTTCTTCACCGATCCCTGCAAGGCACTCAACATGTAGGAAGGTACAAGCGTCTTCATGCTGATATCGCTGGTCGTGGTTCACCTTTACTGGACACCCGTACCGCGAGTAACGGCATGTAGTTCTCATCATTGCAGACATTCTCTCGGCAAAATCGTTCTTCAGGTCAGTGATACGGGCCCTGCAAATATTAATTTCAAGAAAAATTCACTTCTTTAAATCTAACTCTTTTCTGATGTCCAGTGAAGCGAGTAAACTCTCGGGGAATTTGGTCACAGCGAGTTCAGTATTTGACGGAAGACAGAAGGCCCCACTTTTCGTTAACTCGGATTTTATAATTTGAAGATAGCAGGTTTTTGTGGTTGTCTTGATGGCGGTGGTGGCGGCCGTCGTGGTGGTGTTGGTGGTGGTGTTGGTGGCGGTCTTGGTGGCGATGTTTGTGGTAGTGGCGGTGTTGGTGGCGGTTGTGTTGGTGNGTGGTGGTGGTGGCGGTGGTGGTGGCGGTGTTGGTGGTGGTGTTGGTGGCGGTCGTGGCGGCGGTGTTGGTGGCGGTCGTGTTGGCGAAAGTGATGGCGGTGGTGTTGCTGTTGGTGCTAGTGTTGGTGCTAGTGTTGGTTGTTCTGGTGATGATTGTAGTTGTGGCAGTATTAGTAGTATCAGTAGTAGATGGTATTTGCGCCCGGTAAAGCTAAAAGCGAAAAATTAGCTGATAACTTATTCTCACGCAGCTAACATCTCCTACAAATGTAAATTTAAAATACAAAATATTAACTCTATTGGGATGCCACTGTCTACTCTAACAGAAAAATTCCTAACAAATCTGACGTTGCAGCTGTAAATTACAGACCACAGAAACAATTATAGCGATGACTGAGAATGAAAGCTTAACAAAAATGTAGTGCATAACAAGCAATATAAAATCTACCTTTCGTAATATGAAATATAAGGAAATATAAGAGACAGTGCCCTTGTCTGCTAATACAGGAGCCCGCCAAATTAATCCAAACCATTATCCTTCAATCTTGTTTCTTTAAGGCCTATTTCTCCCTGTCGTTTGCGTCTAGGTCTTCTAAGTGACCTCTTTTACCTTAAAGTTCTCCGACCAAAACTGTATAAATATTTCTCATATCTCTTGTGCGTGTTATACTCCCATCCATCTCATCATATCTCATCATTAACTGAATTATCCTAATTATATTTTGTCACGATTACAAATTAAGAATCTCCTCATTATGCAACTATCTCCAGCCTGCCATTACTTTCCTGCACCTGCGATGGGACCAGGTGATAACGGCCAACTGAGAGTCACGAGTTCGTATCTCCGACTTTCTTACATCAAAACAAGTCTAGCCTTAATACAGTAATTGAAATCAATCCTCAAAAAGAGTTTTGGGCAGCTGGAACACTAAGATCGGTTATTCGAACTCCCCTCATAGGTTTGCATGTTGTGTTTTCATGTACAGGTAGAGGCCTTACTATGGGCCGACCCCCTCCCCTCTCATGGAATCCTTCAGAATGTAAGGTAGGCCGGACATCGGCATGCATCAAGATATGTAACAGTCAAGACACGATGTCTGCGACATGACGCAAAGAAAGGAACACAATTGAAACGAATGAGATTACGAAAACCGCCGCACACCGTTCTGAGTCATGATGCTGATGTCAGCTTCATGCTGACGAAACATGAATGAAGAAAAACTGCATCATTTGTCCATGTCTTGATGCTTGTCTTGACGCAGTTTGTGTGACCACCCTTAGAGTTAATTTCGAATCAAAAGAGGCCAGCGGGATCAAGGTTTGGAGAGGGAACACGATAATTTCTATGTAAGATTTGAGGCTTTCACGGCGGTGACTATGAAGAAAGCAGTCTTCTGGGATTTGGCACCGTGTATATGTGGTGTTAACCGACGTTTCGGAGGAACGTATCGCCTCCATCTTCAGGGTAGAAGAAAAAATATATAAGAAATCTGCAAGCAAAGAGACCGTGAGAACCGGTAAAAGCAGACTGCTGCTGGTCTGCTTTTACCGGTTCTCACGGTCTTTTTGATTGCAGATTTCTTATATATTTTTTCTTCTACCCTGAAGATGGAGGCGATACGTTCCTCCGAAACGTCGGTTAACACCACATATACACGGTGCCAAATCCCAGAAGACTGCTTTCTTCACGATAATTTCTGTAGGAACCGCTGCGGCATACAGCGGAACGAGCTGGAAGTACAAGGTGTTAAGTACGCTTGCGGAATTATATTCAAGAACTGTGGGATGGAGGCTAGACAATGCAACCCTTCCAGCCGCATTATGACCCTGGGGTCGATTCAGCGTTCAAGAGACGTAAGGCTGACAACCTCATGACCATTTCTGAGTCAGTTGCCTAGAAAATACGGGAACCTCAACGTCTCAAAACCGTATGGATCACCATGGCCTGCTACAGGAATAGCTTTGCTTTTTTACTTGTATATTAGAATTTCGTTGGGTTAACAATATGAAAGAAAGACTTGTGAATGACCCGTGACTACTAATTACATTCGATTTTATATTCAGTCTAAATGGCAAGGCTAGCAGGAATTACATTTGTACAATTCAAGCGTACTGGTCCACTGTTGCGTGTTGACGTCTGCTAGCAAAACTGCTCTTTCAATTGGCCATATCTGGTCATTTATACGTATATAGTTGTCCCTGTGTTTAATTAAGCACTACGTAATGAAGACGTATGGGGGCAGGGATATGTAGATCCACGTATTCTTGACCTCGACACAAGTTGGAGTTGAGTGGTCAGCTTCACACTCAGGCCCCAGACCCGGCCCCTACCGGGACTCGAACTCCCACCCCTCGACCGCCCAACCCGCAAACAGTCGCTATACCGCCTGCGCTATCCCGGCTTGTCGGTGCTATATAACATATATAACACTAATTAGCACTGTCTGTAACAGCCAACACAAGATATTTCATATTAATTACTGGAATAAGAAGACACAGCGCAATAAATTTAAGAGATCAAATTAAATGTACTGCTTTTCATGTTCGGCCCCTTGCGGCAATTCTCAGAGAGGCATGGCGATAAACGGAAATTACCTTTACACCTGTTGTGAAAGTTAAAATATGGCACACGAAATTACAACATTTTTCGTGCTGAATCTGAAAGGAGGGTTGAGAAACTATCTCCGAGCAAAATTACATGTTGTGCTCCCATTAATTTCTTAATTACTATCATCATAACAGAAGCCGAATATAAATTTCAAAAGATTGGCATGGTGTTTTGTATTCTAGAAAAAAGAATGTTTAATGTTGAACATTCTCAGACTCAGTATCAAGTAACGTTAATGTAGTGCGAATGTCATGTTAATACTGTTAATGGGAAGATGAGCTATCCCTGCAACAGACCATGAAAGCCCACTGGGGTGTGACACATCGAGGCTCCCACATTTTCTAGACAAAGAACCCACAGACGGCAGTAAAACTGTCAGCCTTAAGCACTGGCCGCCATTTACGCCCCAGAAAGATTCCTGGTACTCATTTGTTCGAGACTGAGTCGACCCCGGGGCCATAGTGCAAATGGAAGGATTAGGTCAACTGAAAAATCCAATGACCTCATCGGAACTCGAACCCGCCATGATTTAAACAAATCTAAGCCAACAAAGTTAGGGCCACTGCTAAAGGCATTTTTAGAACAAGTTTCTTGTAAATCCATCCAGTGGTTCAACCGTCATTACAATTGATAAGCACACGAAACTGGTATCGAAAGACGGGCTATCTGAACAGCAGTCTAGCACAAATGCCATTCGAATCGTTACCTGCATATGCAGCACTTCTGCACGGTTAGTTTGCAGGAACCGCATGCGCTGTGGCCGACTTCACACATGAAGATGGGTGCTGACATCGTTATCTTGCATGACGGGCACTCGAGGAGATCGAGAATCCTCTGAAAGTCGTCAAGTACTGAAGACATTGTCCTGTAAAATTTGGTCCACTAAGCTTTACAGTTCATTGGTTATTTGCTTTGTTCTTTGACTATACGTCACATGCGAAGTAGGTATAAACAATAATGCGAGTTCGTTTTATTAAGAAACTTTTGTAATATTCGGTGAAACTTCGTCGGCAAGTATGACCTACCGACCCATTACTAGGTAGCGACTCGGTAAACACATGCATGAGGACGCTAACGCGCGCAACGGATCAGTAAACACGTCTAAAACAATACGGGGCAATAGAATACGGCGTTTCTATGTGGTCCGTGCAAAGTGCTTATAGAGAAGTGTTCAGCAGCATGAAGTGTTATATTTTAGCTTCCTGTTGCACTGATTTATGTCCATGATTTATTCTGACCGTCTTACAGTGCATACATTTATTCACCTTACTCTTCTCTCTTGCACTACATGTTTCGGCACTAAAATATATATTCGTCATATATATTTTAGTTATTTTAGTATAAAGACAAAAAGGGCATGCAATGCAGTAGTTCGACGTACATCGAAAAGCACTTGAAGATGGCACTTTAGTGCCGAAACATGTAGTGCAAGAGAGAAGAGTAAGGTGAATAAATGTATGCACTGTTAAGACGGTCAGAATAAATCATGAGCATGAAGTGAAGTTGACTAGTCAAGTTGGAGACGCCAGCCGCCAGGGTATGGGCTTGGAAACGAATTGAGTTGGCAGTTGCAGAATAATGGCAAGAACGGTTAGACTGTGACAAGAAGACTTCGTGTGTGATTTGAAGTGACTGTGAGGCGGTTATATATCCATTGCCAGGATAGATTAGTGAAGAATGAAAATCCTAGTGCGTATGTAACGGTGAGATGTAACGTGTGTAGAATAGCCATAGCGCTTGTATCGACTGTAGACCCGAACTGTGTGAATGTATGAGATGAAAGAATTTCAATCGTCCAATCCAAAACCCGTCTATACTCACCCATGTCACGTTTACGGATTCAAAATGTTTATTTGCAACCATTTTGTCACCGAAATAATATGTGCAGTGAAGTCTTCCCTGCTTGCAGAGATTTAGCTGCGTTAGAAAAAATATACAACGCCTTTTAAGAGTCGTTGCAGAGGTCAATCGTAATAACTCCTACATGTTTGGATTTTTTGCGGTTTATAATTTTGGTCTCCATTTAATCATACCTATACAGGTATATGTCCCGGTCATTTGGCCTTGAGAACGCTAGGGGCTGGAGACCAACACAGCTATTGGAGTGTGTGCACTGTGACAATCGGTTTTCAGGTTATTTCGCGACGCTGTTGAACTGAATTTCTACCAACTTTCTAACCTACGTATTTTGCAAGGAAAGACGGGTGTTTCGGCAATGTCTTTGTGTGTATGCGTGTGTCTCCTATAACTTTTGAACCAGTTGAGTAAATGTAATGACACTTGGTATGAACACCGTACCAACAGAGCTGTTAAAACTTAAAGACTGAGCAGGGTAGGAATTTGCTGTTGGTCTTTGCCAGCACAGTCATTTTTGGTTTCTGGCCCCATTGGCAAACATGACCATATTTTTGTTCTTTCTAAGACATTCTGAAACGGAGCTCCCGCTTCGACGAAAGGAAGGTCAATTTTTCTGTGACTATTCTCAGCAGGGCAATAATTTGCTGCTGGCCCTCGCCAGCACTGTCATTCTTGGTTACAGGTCCCGGCGACACACATGGCCATAATATTGTTCCTCCACACACAAGGTCGTTCTAGAACTCGTCTATCTTTACTAAATAAGTAGGTTATCTCACAAGAAACGCGTCTGCGCTATAAAAGCAAACTGGCTAATGCTGTTTAGGGAAACAGTCGCTGTTTATTGTGAGAACCATAACGAAATACACCAATACACTCTGTGTGTAGACTTAGAGTTCAGTATGTTAAAACTTGTGGTACATATAGTAACCACTTGATTTTAGAAGTTAATATAATCTTAGCAGGCCTACTTCTTAATATCGTACCAATTACTTCACCTACTTGTGAGTAGGGTTCACATTAGCGCCATTTCACGTGTGGTTTTACATTGTGTGTGAACATGTGTCTGAGATTTTTGTTAAGGTATTTATTATTATTTTTTTTTAATTGTCCCTGTACTCAACTAATTGAGCACTACGCAATAAAGGCGTATGGGGGAGTGGATGTATAGATTCATATTTTCTTGACCTTGGCGCTATTTGGGGATGAGTAGTCAGCTTCACGCCCCTGCCACTTGACCCCCGGGGAAAGGAGGCCCCCCTACTCATTGGATAGGAGACTGGCTGGGCCTCAGAGCTGTTCTGGACGGCGTGGAGAAGAGAAAATTCTTGACCCTACCTGGACTCGAACTCCAGGAACTTTTCATGCTTTTCTGGTTTGGTTGAGGCCGTGCCAGATCTGTACTTAGGCATGTACGTATTTCATACCCATACCTGCAAATTTCATAGTATGCATGTTCTATGTGACAACAGCTGGTAACGACGCAAAATGTTGGGGTTCTACCTAGAATACTTAACTTAGTCAGAAATTGTAGTGGAAAATATTACAGAAATAAACTGAAATCTAGATAGAACGATTATTAAATTTACAAATATCCTTAGAGATTTCCCGTCGTTTCATTCTTGGTTAAAATGGCATCGTTTCGGAAGCTGACTGTGTTACTATCATCAAATAGAAACATAAAATATGTCCCTTTAAACAAAACAAAAAAAAAAAGAACATATACAGCATATCATCAAACACATCTGCCAATTTAATAACATACCTTTGTCGTTAAACTTTTTACTTTTCTTAGTACAAGCATTCGTGCCCGCGCCATAGCTCAAGTAGTTAGTCGCTGGCTTCCCACCGCGGCGGCCCCGGGTTCTATTCCGGGTCTGGTCAAGTGGGATTTGTGGTGGACAAAGTGGTGCTGGGGCAGGTTTTCTCCGAGTACTTCGGTTTCCCCTGCCAATCTTCATTCAACCAATTGCTCCACAATCACCCTCACCTATCATCTAGGACTGGTAAAATAGGCCAGAAGTGGGCGCAGTACAAGGGGCTTAGTCCCACCCCACTAGCAATAAAAAAACATTCACAGTATTAGAAGAACTGCCTTCACAAATTGGTTCCTTTTCTCACACACAGAAATCCAGCAACGAGATTCAAATTGTATTTATTCGCGGTTCATTTAATGACGAGCTCAGTAGATCAGACTAGGTTCGTGTTGTGTCTAATGGTAGAATGACTAATGAATGATGAAGTGGAAAAGATGTGGAAGGATTAATCCATAGACTATTCCAAGGAACTTTGTTAGAATTCGTCCGAAGGTAATGAGGAAAACAATATACTTCGTCGTCCGAGATGGAACCTGGCATCTCCATAATAGAAGTCAGAGGCATTACAGCCTGAGCCAGTGTGCTCATTGAAATGGCTGAAAACGGAAAAGCCGATTCAAATTGTATTTATTCGCGGTTCATTTAATGACGAGCTCAGTAGATCAGACTAGGTTCGTGTTGTGTCTAATGGTAGAATGACTAATGAATGATGAAGTGGAAAAGATGTGGAAGGATTAATCCATAGACTATTCCAAGGAACTTTGTTAGAATTCGTCCGAAGGTAATGAGGAAAACAATATACTTCGTCGTCCGAGATGGAACCTGGCATCTCCATAATAAAAGTCAGAGGCATTACAGCCTGAGCCAGTGTGCTCATTGAAATGGCTGAAAACGGAAAAGCCAGCAGAGGAAAGGGATATCTAGAGAGACAGAAATGTATTCTGTAAAACTGGCATTACAGAGCAGTCCAGCGGGTATCGAGATGGTGGTTGTCCGTTCATACCTATCCGCACGCAGACACGTCTCAGAACACCGAGACGCAACTGGGAACCGATTCCCTGGCCACTACTGCTTCCTTGCAACGATAAGGATGATCACTGAATTTGGAAAATGGTGGTCCCCTTGTCACCACGGCATGGCGCGTCCTTAGGTTGCGGATGGAGAAGAAGCCCTTCATGTATGGAGGGAAGCTGCGAATATATTGAAAAAGCAGTCGCGGACAGCCGACAAGAGGTGGTCCTCCAGCTTGGGGTTGGGCATGAGGCTAACAACTCTTCACCATAAAAAATAAGCCTCGGACCTGGGCGGATTCTGTGGACAAACGGCCTGAGCAAAAGAAAATGCATATGAGATTTGGTACTTGGAATAGAATGGATCTTAGAGAGATGGGAGATGATATGGATTGGATTGATCTGTACTTCTTTTGGCTTATTTTGGACTTCACCCATCGTCTGGTATATAAAAGACAAAAAAAACACGACGTTTCGGAGACGATGGGTGAAGTCCAAAATAAGCCAAAAGAAGTACAGTATACACCATCGTCAGAATCCTTTCAAGTCTATCTGGATTGATCTTTCTCAGGGTAGGGACCAGTGGAGGGCTCTTGTGAATACGGTAATGAACCTTCGGGTTCCATAAAATACTGGGAGGCTCTTGAGTAACTGCATAACTGACGGTTTCTCAAGAATGGCTGAGCTCCGTGAGTGAGTGAGTGAGTGAGTGAGTGAGTGAGTGAGTGAGTGAGTGAGTGAGTGAGTGAGTGAGTGAGAGATACAAGAGCACTGTGAAGTTAAGGTCCGTCAGTTCTATGCATACAGACTGCGAGAGAAGGGTTGAGCATACTGTACGGTAGTAGGGAAACTATTTCAAAATTGTATTATCGATGTTTACGTTGAAGTTGAAGCAAGTAGAGTGAATCACATTAAACAAAACAAGAAGCTCTGCTTCTATCAAGGCCTCTTAGTGAGTATACAAATTTGAAGAAGGGTAATGAAGGTGGAGGGCTAATTTTACGACTCTGTCAGTAAACAGATCATATAGCGTCTAATTGCACCATATATGAATAATGAATTGCAAAGGATTTGGGAGGAAACAGTCATTTTCTAATAGAGGTACTATCCTGCAGGGACCAATGAAAACCACGAAAAATGTTGGGCCAGGATAGCTGATGTCCCAGCAGAGATTCGAAAAGAGAATCTTTCAAAGATGAGTTATAAGAGCATTATCGGTACGCGCGTCCGGTCAAAACCTGGCACACACATATTTTACATTCCGCGTTTTCAGTAAAGCCGGATATGTTTATAAGTTACTTGTGCTCCTGGATGGGTTGAAATGGCTGAAGTCATTGAGGACTAGATATAAATTAGAAACAGATCGCATACAAGCGCCAAAAATGTTAACATCACTTTAAAATAATTGCTCAAAAATTTACAAAAGAAACATGTATAGCCTACTTGAAATATCATCTATATTTTTACAGGTAAGAAAACTTCAAAAAGGAGGCGGCTTCCTCTAGTGCATAACTAAACTAACTCCAATGTAGCTGAGTCATTATGACAAGCCACCAGTCGTCCGGCTACTCATTACCGTGTTCACGAGATCCCTTCTAAGTATAGCGACTTGCTACGGGCTAGATGACCTTTTGAATTACAAATGGAAGACAGCGAAATTTGAATTGGGAAGGACATGTAAGGAAGCACTCGTGATCCAGTTTACTATCGCAGCATCTGCATAGATAACAGAGTCAAGGGAGTCGGCCTAGCCCCCCCCCCCGAAACAGCAGTGATAACTACTGAATGACTGCATTTTCGTTCTCTTTCAATTGTAAATTTTAACATCACTAATTTCATTTGCTTCGCAGTAAAAGTGAGAACACAATGACGAACACAAATGCCAGGCAAAATGTCTACGAAGTTACTGCTTCAGCAAAAACAGTATTTCCTTCTTTCAAACCAGCATGACGCTCAAGATACTGAGTGTAATTAAAGTGTAATATAGACACCGCAGAATCTTAATCAGCCTTCATTAAAATTTATTTGAAATATGTTACGAATAAATAACGCTTTTCACTGAGTAATGTACGTTTATATCTGTCAAGCCCGCACGAACCTGTTCTCATTTTCAATTCCAATATTACTAAGTCGAAGAATTTGTAATGTTGTAATTGTAATTTGTAATTTGTAATGTTATACTGTAGTTACTTACAACTGACAGTCACTGGAGGCTCTAGAATTATTTAAGTAAAATGTAGTCAACGGCCTTGTTTCTTTCCTCAGAACATCTTTCCCTGTTGGCTGTTCCCGCTGTTCCTGTCTACTGCACTTGACTGCACTGGCCCATCGAAGTACTGCATGGTAGGACGCAGGTATGACGGGTATGACGTACCACATGAATATAAATCGATTCAACTGCAGTCGATAGCAATCACAAAACATCGATTTAAGGTACTATAATGTGTAGTTAATTGTAAATTATAAATTTGCATTTATTATCTTCTTGATGTGATGATACGGATCGCCAGAAATCATTATGACCATTTTCTTGAAAATGAAATGTGAAACGATCGTTAAAAATAAATATGTAATAAAATATTATACGATATTTAAAGAAAGTAACATAATGTATATTCCTGTTACATCAATTTTTGTCTTCACTTATTTTAATAGAAGCAATTCTACTACTGTTTATGAAATAAAATAGCATGAAGCAATATCAAACTGTGCATCTCCGATTGATCTTGGTGGTTACTTATTATAATTACAGATCTATTACATATCCAGCAGCTGAAAAACTGTAACATTTTGTTTGGGAGAAACATCATTTTTTAATCTTACTTATTAAAAAAATTGAAATAAATTTACGGTATATTTATACACTATATTACACAATAAAAAGTAAAGTAAAGCTATCCCTGTAACAGACCGTGAAGGCCCATAGGGTTGTGAGACGTTGAGGGTCCCACATTATCTAGACAATCGGCTCATAGATGGCGGTAAAGTTGTCAGTCTTACACGACGGCAGCGCTTTACTCCCTAGGAAAATTATTTAATTAATTCCTGGTACTCATTTCTGTTAGAGGCTGAGTCGACCCCAGGGCCATAGTGCGGCCGGAAGGATTAGGTGAATTGAAAAAAATCCAATGACCTCATCGGAATTTGAACCCGCGACCTTCCGGCTTGTAGCATAGCCCCTCAACCAACTAAATAATATTTCTAAAACAAATTATTTATACAACTGCCGCTTTATTTTTTGATTTCAGTTTTAATAAAAATATATTCTACCGATGAAAAGCGAAATTAAATTCGTTTAATAGACTTCTGACTACGAATCACGATCATAGTGTAAGCCTATAGAACGTATACGTAATAACCGTGCAAGATTTCAACTAAAAGTCACAACATATGGTCGCCCAAGATGACGCTTAGGAGGCAGAAGCGGTGTTTCACATGCTTTTCTGTTATGACATAATATAATTTGCAGAAGTACAATTACAAATCAGAATGCAGATATTTAAAAAAGTATTTTGTTTATATATAGATATACTCGTATTTGCTCCATTGAAATCTCTTTGTAATCACATTTTCATATATTTACTGCATTTATTTTATGCCCTTCTCAAATGTATTCTTGTTATAATCCTTATGGAGAATGCATATACGTATATTGTTCACATTTTGGCAGAATAATTAATTCACCAAACCATTAGACTGTTTCAGGTGACTTGCTGTGTCGAAACGGAAGCATTTGCCGACATATGCGAGGAATTTATTGCCTCATGCTTACAAGTAAAAGTAAAGCTATCCCTGTAACAGGCCGTGCAGGCCCATAGAGATGTGAGATGTTGAGATTCTCACATTTTCTAGACAATCGGCTCATAGATGGCGGTAAGGTTGTCAGCTTTACGCCCCGGCCGCGCTTTACCCCCAAGAATATTCCTGGTACTCATTTCTGTTAGAGGCTGAGTCGACCCCAGGGCCATAGTGCGGCTGGAAGGATTAGATCAATTGAAAAAGAAACCTCATCGGGACTCGATCCCGCGACCTTCCGGATTGTAGCATAGTGCCTCAACCAACTACGCTACCGAGTGAACCCAAATTTGTGCTTAACTAATTAAGTACTACACCATGAACCTACATTTTCGCGACCTCGGTACTGGTTGGAATTCAGTGGTCAGCTTTACACCCCGGTCGCTTTAACCCTTGGAAAAGAGCTCCAGTATTCATTGGATAGGAGGTTGAGTGGACTTCAAAGCTGATCTGGACGACGTGGAGAAAAGAAAATTCTTGAACTTATCGGGACTCGAACTCCGACCCCTCCGTCGCCTAGCCCGAGGCTAGCCGCTATACCGACTGCGCTCTCCCGGCTCACGTTGTATTGACGTACTTCTTCTTCTTCTTCTTCTTATTATTATTACTATTACTATTATAGTCCACAAATTTTTAAGGTCACTTAATTAATAATTATAATTTCACATTTCCTCCAAGTGCGCCGTCAAATACACAACAAAACTGCGCTCCGTAATGAATATGGGCATGATCTCCACGCGCTGGTAAGTGGACGCAACAACTGTAGGGGGAAACGTGGGTAGTTCTTCAAATTGATGTTCTGTTGTTGTTAGGGGCAACATGACATTGCAAGATTTCCATAAAGTGAATAATTCTCACCTGCATACTACTAAGCAACCCTCACGCACCTTGCACTCCTGCCACGATTTAACGATCCTTCCTGCCAGAGATGTTGGCTGTCTTACATAACAATGACTGAGAGCGACGTCAAGGATGTCCGCCTCGAAATTTCACTGGCCTACAATCACGTGTTTGTGAGGTGCCTTCCTAGTTTTATGTTTTATTTGTGAGCATATTTTCGTTAGACCTTTTGGTATGTACATATACTGCGATCACTGAAAGTTTAAGATTGTACTCTGTGATGTGCGGAACTGGATATCTGACAACAATGCTACCTTCCTTTCCGACGGTCTTGGTCTTGCTATGTCACAACAAGGCAGGGCCGAGGTTCAAAAATATTATTCTAAACAATATATAAAAATTGAGTTTGTATTTCACAGGAAACACACTACTTCTCAGCTACAAAGTTCAGCATGTTTAATATTGATTACGAGAAAAAACGCAGTTTATTGTGGTAATCATATGAAAAATACAGATCCATTGTCTGGGCAGAATAGGGAGTTCCTGTATTTTACTGCAGGTGATACGTGTTCAACCACTTAGATTTAAATGGTTAAATCGTGATCGGACTTCAAGGCTTACAGGTTCAACCCACTCAGTTTGGGACATCAGAAAAATTGGGAAAATTTCCCTCTAACCGCTGTTACTGAAAGTTAAACTTTGACGTACAAACTTAAAAACGGATTAAGAATTCTAGAAGTTTTCTGTCACGTGTATTAAAAGTTAATTATGGAAGAAGAACCAGTAAATTATGGATACAGACCGTAGGAGACCATTGATAAGAAATGGGAAGTCTTCTGCCCCCAAGGTGCCCCAAAACATGAGTAACTTACTATGTGTAAAAGAACTGTTTAAACTACTCATATGTGCCGTATCTGTTTAATTTTTCCTCTCATGGGGCGAGATTGATTCATCTTGGTACTGCGGCTACTGTTTGGCCTATTGTACTAGACCCAGATGATAGATGATGATTATTTATCAATTGGTGGAATCCGAATTGGCAGGGGAAACCGAAGTACTTGGAGGAGGCCTGCGCCAACGCCACTTTTTCCACCATAAACCCCACATGAACTGACCTCGGCTCGAACCCGGCCTGCCACGGTGGGAAGCCGGCGACTAACCGCCTGAGCTATGACATGGCCTATGTGTTCATGTTACATAAAATGTAAAGCTTATATAGGATAACGTAATATAGTTACCTATAGTGTTTGAAGTGGTGGTCAAGAGAAATATCCCCAAAGCTCCTTTTGAGATTCGAACTCCTTTCGTCCACTCCGAAAGCAGTTACTGCAATAACTGAGACACCATGGCTTCTGAGGAACTGCATCTGTAAACCTGGTTTCTATATCAGTCTGAGATTTCTACCGGTATGTTGGCCTATCGCTGATTCCCTCAATATCTGTGGCAAAGACGATGAATCCATTGCTGGTTCTTGCGAATAGCAACGAAACGTTCGTTAAGAACTTCTTGAATAGACGAGCTCCTGTTAAATTCTCAAGGGGTGCGCTTATGGATGGAATTAGGCTGATCCTTTGCACAGAATTTATGGTGCAAATTATCCATTGCCAGAGGAATATTTAATTATTAGTGCGGATTCCGCCGTAATAATCAGCCATTATGTTAATTAGAAGTCCCGCCTGACGTGATGAAGATAACATGAGGAATTCCGTCTTCTGAGACTTGGCGCCGTGTATATCCTGTGTGAACCTATGTTTCGGAAAAAAGTATCGCCTCTATCTTCAGGAGGAGCAGGTCTGGACGACGTGGAGAAGAGAAAATTCTTGACCCTACCGGGACTCGAAGTCCGACGCCTCGGTCATCCAGCCCTTAGCTAGTCGCTATACCGACTGAGCTATCCCGACTCCTGATTAAGGAACTATGTAAGTAAGTAAGTAAAGTTATCCCTGTAACAGGCCGTGGAGGCTCATAGGGTTGTGAGACGTTGAGGTTCCCACATTCTCTAGACAATCTGCTCATAGATGGCGGCAAGGTTGTCAGCCCTACGCCCAGGCCTCACTTTACACCCAAGAATATTCCTGGTACTCATTTCTGTTAAAGGTTGAGTCGATCCAAGGGCCACGTAATAAATTTAAATATGCGGCTTCATCTCCGGCCCGTCAATTGGTTGGATTCAGGGTATGAAAATTTCCTTTCTTCACGTTTCTGTTTCTTCTGTCTCCAGCTTGCTCTATGTTCTCTAAATACCGGCCAAGATGTGATTCCAGTAGAGTCTCTTTTTCTGTTGTTAACCAGACGGATCACATTTGGTTCACCACAATCAATACTGGTTTGACTTATTTATGACTTTTTCGACGCTGCAATTATTTCCGACTCTGTAGCGTCCAACGGTAGGACGATTAATGAATAAATAATTTGAAACGATGTGAATGGACAGGAGCGTAGCCCACTTCAAGGAAGAATCCCAGTGACTACATTGGAGGAAGAGGAGGAATACCAAGTAAAACACGTCTGTAATCAACAGTGTTATCAGTTAACACAAGTTAATCTCAAGAGAGATCAAAATCATTTCAGTGCAGCCTCGATAATCCGAACCAACTAAGCACTGATGTGTTTAGACTATCGAATCGTTCTGATTACTGGATTTCAAATAAAAAATTTGATTTCATTATTAAAATTATTTATTCAAACGATTT